TCCATACAGACTTTTAAAATTCCAGCTAAATAGTAGAATTTTGCTAGTGGGAATATAAAAAAATCCAGTCAGAATTTTGTTCATTTTCCCTGTCCGTCTACTTTCTATATAGAATCTTTGATTCTAGGTAGATACCTACTACATTCCTACTTGTTTCTAGGTGGAATCCTACTACCAATTTCGTACGGGTCAATCAAAGGACATATTAACACCAGTGAACATACACTGAACAAATACATTTGACCTATGATACAATGTAAATACAAAATAAATAAACTAAGGGAAGAATAATAAAAGTAACATGTTATATCGGTATGAAATGTTAAACAATTTAAGAAAAACAATATGCTCGAACAAAAATATCAGCAATTTGCAATAACTTTAAACACAGGTAAAAGAAAATAATTTTGATGTTAGGTATACGTGTACAATTCCAATAGAGAAAGGAAATATTTTTACAAAATAAATAATTTTGATGTTCATAGTACGAAGTGAAAATTCATAGTAGTACCAAACACTTATCAAAGCTGGTAAATAGACCAGATATAACCCTGAATAACATTAAATAACAAAAGCATTACAATTAGTCTCTATGCACGTTTAAGACCACCTTGAAACAACTCTTCGAGGGATCCGTAGATGAATTGTTACAGGCTTAATTACTGCCCCTATCGAAAATACCCTCATTTACAGTGGCAGTCATAATATCCAGTCCTTCAGGTTGGTCAACATTGCAGAACCTTCCTTTTGCATTAATTGTTAATTGTTTATCGTCTTGAATATGCATAAAATATTTGCAATTGAACGACTACATTGTAAAGCAAGCAACAATCAAGCGATATTAGGTTTCCTATTCCAAAAAATTATAAATAAAAATTTTGGAATAATTCATATGAGATTTTGTTAAACGTTTCACTTAAAAATTGAAAAAAAAATATTATGTTCTTACGATACAATCTATTGAGCAATGCTTACAGCAATGGCAGTATTACGACTTTAAAAGTAGTATAACATGTAATTCAAAATAATTTCTCAATTTCAGTATTAATTTATTCGACCAACCAGTTATTATCGAAACAGTTTCCTTTTGTTAAGTTTCTATATGTATGTGTTCATTCTGAAGTCAGCATTCTATTAATTTAATACAAGTGTGTTGTTGTTTAATTTATTTTTTTTGTTTCCATTTTCATGACATTTTTATATTATGTGCATATATAGTTATATTAGCTGTTGACGTTAAAGAAATAAATCCTTATTTATGTATATGTTTTAAACATTAATTTAATTTGTTATAATCCAATCTTCATTTAAAACTTGTTGTGGGTTTACATCATTGGACCGTCAAATAAACGACCAAAACTAACCAATATATAACTAGAGGTCAACATACATTCGTCGATGATAGAAAAATGACTGGACAATTATATGACATCTTTTAGATAACTTTGACTTTAAACAGTTGAAGAACATTACACATAGCTATAGACTTTTACAATTTGCCTCAAGATCTGAACCCTTATCTCAGAATAAGAAAAACACAACCATAAGGCTAACACGAGACAGTCACCATCAATGCTTCTGACTTGGATGAACAAGGACACCTGGCAAGTTTAAACTAGGTTACAAATTCTTATAAACCCCCCTTTTATTATTTTTCAGGCGAATCTCACCAAATGAATAACAGACACAAAATAACAATAAATATTATACTGTATAAAAAGATCTTATTACTGTTATGAAATTTTTATTTGACTTATGGTTGAAATTGGACAATATTGATATCTTCAAATTTAAATAGAGATGCATCCAGTCACACATGCATATACACAAACACATGGATAAACATGCAAGCAAATCAATTGCCTTTCGATTTGTAATCATCTAATTGACGTAGATTTTCTTCAACTTTTTCAAAATATTCTATGTGTTTTTTTTTTCACAATTTGAAACGTTTCGTTAACTGCCTTTTGACTCTGTTCATTTTATTCCTTTCGACGATATTCAATTTCTTTCTTATCAATGGCTGGATCAAGTGCAACAAGACCACATAATCTATTAATTTGGTCCAATAGATGCTTGTCTGATACTTCAACGTATGCGGATGTTATTGCATGAACAGCATAAGTCATTGTGCTCACCTTCAACAGTTTCTCATAGATAATTTTATTTGCAATTCAGTGATTTTACTAAATTTTGCACGTTCTCGTGAAATGTCATTTTGATTACTCTAGAAATATTTTGGAAAAACCTGACAATCATTCCCCATTCGGAACGAACCTCTGCTATTGATTTTAAACCTTTCACCAACATTTTTTCGGATGTCGTCAAAATTAACTTCTTCTATTTTTAAACTCTCTAATTCTTTCAAAGTATTTGTTATCCTTTTGTTAGTTTTTATTATGTTTTGAAAAGTTTCCTCTTTAGTACGTCTCGAATCTTCTAATGCATCTCTTGCACTTTCGACTTTTATACTCGATCTCGTAAGTTCATGCTGAACCAATATGTCCGAGCTTAATATCGTTTGCTTCCATCCAGCTCGAGTTTTATACATATGTTCTTTTGCATCTGCCAAAAATTGTTTAACGTCAAGATGAATATCCTCAATGTTTATGACTACTTGCTTCACTTCATCGTCATCTCTCATCAACTCTTTATGGAGTTCAATTAATTTTTTACAATATTCTAATGCATTCTTGATTATCTTTATACACTGTTGATGAGCATCTGTATGTTCGGAATCCTTCTTAAGCTTTTTGTCAATATGTGAGATAGTATGTTTTAAACCTCTTACGTCATCTATTTTAATTCAGTCGGGTTCTTTTTGGTCCATTTTTATTACCAACAGTGGTTATTTCAACCAATTGATCGACCGCTAGGTTTAGATCTTCTGCAAATCCGAATGCACGATGTTTTGCCCTGTCCTAAGTTTATTCTGTTTCTCGTGTGTCATGAATTTGATCATACAACGACTGATCTCTGTCACAAAGTATATTTTTACAACTCCAAGCTCCCATCGAATACAGAAAACGAATACCTTAAAAGTGTCTTTAATATATTTTTTTTACAGTTTAGTATGACGTCCATTTTCACTGAACTAGTACAAATTTGTGTGTAGGAGTCAGCTGAAGCACGCCTCCGGGTGTTGGATTTCCCCGCTGTGTTAAAGACCCATTGTTGGCCTTCGGCTGTTTTCTTTTCTTTGGTCGGGTTGTTGTCTCTTTGACACATTTCCCATTTTCATTCTCAATTTTACTAATCATTTGTTTAAAAATATGCAAAAGTCTGAGATAATTCATTTTCTAATTCAACAAGAGAAAAGAATTCGATTACGAAACAATTTCAGTTTGAAAGTTACACACGACTTATTTTAACAATAATTTGGCTATTTTTTTTAGAGATCAAAAATTCAAATTAAGCATATTTTCATTTCACAGAAGACTAAGACATATTATGTCAAAATTTTGACTAATTTCTTACACTTTAAAAAAAAGTTGAATGCAAAAGAATTTTGTGCTCCAACGGAATAATTGAAGATGTTGCGTTTTGTTGTTGGTGAATATGATTTGAATGAGGTTTACCAAATAGTACTAAAGGTTTATAAATGCCCACGTGGACATTTTTCTGGTCCTATTTGTTGTTGGTGAATGTGATTTGAATGAGGTTTACCAAATAGTACTAAAGGTTTATAAATGCCCACGTGGACATTTTTCTGGTCCTATTTGTTGTTGGTGAATGTGATTTGAATGAGGTTTACCAAATAGTACTAAAGGTTTATAAATGCCCACGTGGACATTTTTCTGGTCCTATTTGTTGTTGGTGAATGTGATTTGAATGAGGTTTAACAAATAGTACTAAAGGTTTATAAATGCACATGTGGACATTTTTTTTGTCCTATTTTTCAGTGAATTAAAAAGAAACACTGATCAAAATGAAAAGATAACAATCTGAGATTTTATAAAACAAATTGTATGTAAATGTGTTTTTGTCATTAGTGAGAACCATCCTCATTAATCTTTTGCCATATAATATTGGGTTTTCGGGTCTTTTTTGTTGATTGCAACTCTTTAATAAATTGATTAATTGTTAGTGTTAACCTTGGACAGAGCGGAACACAGTTTCCATGAGACATATATCGTATTTTACGTGAACATTCCGCATTGAATAATATGACAGCAAAACTGACGTCGAACGTAAGTAAGGAATAGCTACCGGAATAAGACAGGTCCCGATGACCATATTTCTATACCTCAATTAATTATGTGCAGCTCATTGATACATGTATTATATATAAGCTGACCGTTTTTAGGATGAGTATGATCAGGACCTTAAGAATATGTGTAGCCATGGTTTAGGGTTGTTTATTGACCTCTAGTTATTTTAATACTTGTATTGCTGTTACAGTATTTTCGCCATAACGCAATACATCCCCTCGTTTTTACAATATCTAGCTCATTTTTAACCCATCAGAGGAGTTGTGGTACTATTGCCAAGTTCAAATGAAAATGATATGCAAACTTGCAGGTGATCATATCAACCCTTTGAATATAAAATAAGACAGACAAAGAATATTTGTGGCCGAGTTTTCGTTGGAAACAAAACAATCGTATTGTATATTGAAATGTTTCACCACGGGTTGAATCTTGATTTATATTTTCAAATTATTTAACATGTTATAGTAAATAAAATATTTACTTCAAAAAATTTCTTACACACACATATCAATTATTTTATTTTGATAAATGTATTGATTATAAAAAAAAATATTCATGCAAGGATAAAGAAGACATATCTTTGATAAACATTTTTCTATACCGAAGCCGATTAAACACAAAATGAAAATAACGGTACACAAATTGAAAAAAATCTTTTAGTGTAATTTTATCTATTATTATTAATTTATATTATTATTCACAATACTTTTATAAAATGATACAATCACTATTCCATAGCAGTTGAGCACCTTGCAATTTTCGAAAAATTGCCTGGTTCACCTGGATCTAAATATAGACAAATTGATCGCCACGTATATATGTTGTTACAAGATTTACTAACGGTAAGTGCATATCTCTCTGCAAAAGATATACTATACATTGCAGATAAGTAATGAACACATTAAACATGTTTCGACTTCAGAAAATTTAAAAGTAATTAAATGTTTAACTATACCCAGTTTATATAAACTTGAAAAAATCAGAAGAAATTCTGTCAAGCGGGTAGACAAGGTCGCAATGCATGAACACACTAAACTCATTGGATGTTAGATGTGTATGGAATGTTATTTTAGATTATAATATCAATTTTTTTATCCATTGTTATTAGCTTTGAACTAGCTTTCAATAACTGCAAGCACTGTAAGATCTGTCTTCTGTGTTTTTGTGCTTTGTATAGATTTGATAAAACACTTGAGTTAAGCTCTTTTAAACTGATTGTATGGTTTGTTTTTATGTTACACCACTATCCCAGGCTTGGTTGGCGTTTGGTGCCTGTATAATTGTTCAACTTCACCATACTCTGTATGTACTGTCCCAACTCAGGAAACTGTTATTTTGTGTTGGTTTTTGTTGATGTATATCATTTTTGATTTACAATTATATTTTTGTACATTTTTTTTCTTGGATTATGCTGTTACACCACTGTCCTATGTTCGAGATGGGCTGGGCACCAACAAGCATGTTTAACACCTCCACATTATGTATGTTCTTGTCTTCAGTCATGAGCCTACCATCATCCAGTAGTTGTCTGTTGATGTTGTTTATTATATTTGTTTTACATTTATTATTTTGTACTGACATTATGGCGTTAGTTTTTCTCGTTTGAGATGCTTTACCACGTTAACAGCAGGTCTTTTGGGACTTTTATAGTTGACTCAATGGTATGGGTTTTGCTTATTATTGATAACCGTACATAGACCTATTGTTGTTAACGTCATTTGGTTTCTGGATGAGAGTGTTCTCTGACAAAATACACAGTAGGTAGCCGAAAGTTTCGTGCGCCTGAGAGAGTTCGCGTGTATCAGGAATAATTTCATTGGCAGACAGACATTGGTTAACACTTCACGTTAAATATTATTTTCAAAAATCGTTTTAAACATAAACCCAGAGAAAAATGACCTACTGATTGCCAAAAGTGCTTGTATGTTATTAATTGGGTTTTTTTCGGTATTTTTTCATAATGTGTATCATTTAACACTAATGTTACCTAACCTCTAACACATCATATATTATAAGTGTTTTGTTTTCGGCATGTCAATCTTTGTACCTATGATTGTATTGGTTTTTAGAAAATACAGTTATTGATATACGTTGTTGATACTAAACATACGATTCTCTTATTGACGTATCAACAGTTATATGTACAACATGTTTAATTTTATATTGAAGCCTTAAACAAAATGAAGGTATGCAGTGGTAGTTGTCGTCCTGCGTGTGTTATCATTTTAACATGTATTCTCAGGTAAGTTGAATTTATTTCATTGCAATTTTTTGGAAAAAAAATAATAATCTTATACCGAATTGGGAACACCCTTAGGCATTCGCACGTGTGTTATTCAACTGTTTGTGCTTTAAATGTTTAAAACAAAACAAGTAAGATATCACCTCTATTCCTATTCCATTATAAGTTTACTTTAAGGCTTTTTTTCGAATTCTAACATTAAAAATTTACATTACTTAGCAGACTAAAATATGGTCTAAATGAAATACCTCAAGTTTGTAATTTGTCATCATGATAAAGTAGGTGTGTTTGAATTACAAAATATCCGGTAAAGGCCAACTTAATAATAAAACTTTGTTTTTATAATAAATGCCTCAACGCCTTGAGACGCTAAATCTGACATCCCGATCAACATATCATATTTTAATGAAATATTAGTTTTAAAACCAATAAATTTTAACTAAGAAGCTGGTATTTGGCTAAATTTCATGATAATTATAAAAAAGTAGATGTGGTATGACTGCCAATGAGACAACCCTCCGCAAGTGACCAAATGACACAGAAATTAACAATTATAGGTCACCGTACGGCCGCCAACAATGAGCATACCCATACTGCAGAGAAAGCTATACAAGGCCCCGAAATGACAAATGTAAAACTATTCAAACGAGAAAACTAACGGACTAATTTCATGAATTTATGTACAAAAAATTAACGAAAATTAAATATGAAACACATCAACAAACGACAACCACTGAATTACAGGATCCTGACAGAATGTGGCGGGGTTAACCATGTTAGCCGGATCCAAAGAATTAAAATCTATATAAATCACAATTTTCTACATAAGAAAATGCCTGTACCAAGTCAGGAATATGACAAATGTTATCTATTCGCTTGATGTGTTAGAGCTTTTGATTTTGCCATTTGATTAGGGACTTTCCGTATTTAATTTTCCTCGAATTTCAGTATTTTTGTGATTTCACTTTTTAAACATAGCCAACAAATTCTAGCTTGAGCATATGTAAACCTAGTGAACTATTTTTTACTAAATTATTAACAGATCAGTAAAGAAAAGTATGCTATATATAATGTCAATACTTAGGCACAGAGTATTGAGTCGTTTAACATGTGACCAGCATTAATATATAGCCAAACACATCACTAATTCTTCCTTTAGAAAATGAAAATAACATTTCATTCGTTTGATGTGTTTGAACTTTGATTTTGCAATTGCATACGGAAATACTTTCGGTTTTGAATATTTCCTTCGAGTTTGGTATTTTTGGTATTTTTTTCTTTTTAAATTTTGTACGTCCGATGTGCTTATTCATTTTCATTAGAAACGCTCACACTGAAAGATTTGTAATTAAAAGTTCACTCCCAGAATATGACAATAGCGATATAACCATTAGATACCTTAAGAAAATTGCCAAATAAATCTAAAAAGTAAAATCACAAAAGTAGTGAACTCCGAGGAAAATTCAAAACGAATAGTCCCTAATCAAATGGCAAAATAAAAATTTCAAACCCACCAAACGAATGGACAACAACTCTCATATTTCTGATTGGTTCAGGCATTTTCTTATGTAGAAAATGGTGGATTAAACCTGGTTTTATAGCTAGCTGAACATTTCACTTGTATGACAGTCGCATAAAATTCCAGTATATTAACACCGATGATAACAAAACAAAATAAATAATAGGTAATGAGATTTCATCTATAGATCTTTAAACATAACAAAAGATTCAATTTTGCAAATATCTAAAATCAGATTGTTTTGATATACAGTGTAACCTGCATAATCCAACACCTGAGTATTCCAAGATCCTGCTTTAACCGACACATCTTCATGGTCCCAAAATACCGTATAGCAGGTTATTTTCACGGGTGTAAAATTTTGCAATTCAGAGGGAACAAGATATTCGAAAATTTTTGGCGGTTTTTATTTTGATGGATTCTTAAATCTCTATTAAATGTTTTGTCGGACACTAAAATTGTTGCAGGTAAAAAGTTGTCAATTTGACAAACAAGTGTCTATTGTTATTGTTAATTTATTTATTTTTACCTGAAAGACCTCTTATTCATTGATTATATTCTGATACAGTTAATAAATAGAATACCAGTGACTTAGATATTTGTTATAGGTATTCAAACTCAAATGTCTTTATAAATTTTACGATTGATTAGTTGCAAAATTAACCGGACCTTTGATGAACTTACTAATAAGTTACAAAATTATCATGAGTGTTTACGACTCTTATATAATTTGACACTCATTGATACGGGTAATTACTTAATAAGAGTACCATATACTCGTAGTATATGTAAGAGAATGATAATCCCTATCCTTCATGATTATTGACGAGTGTTAGCGAGTACTTATCATGAAGTAAGGGAGTATTATTCTCTAATAACTTAGAATATTGTAATGTGATCAAGGCTCACATGATCCCTTGATTGGTTTTATTCAAGAATTAGTTTCATCGTCATCATGGTCAGTGTAAATCAAAGGTTTATAATTGATGCATTACTTAATTTTTCATAGTTTCATTTTCAAACAAAATACTATTTCATTATGGCAGGCTATTCTAATGAAATGCCTTTTAATGTTTTTAATATTTTCAAATTCCTGTTTTTTGTTTTTGTTTTATCGTATGCTGCAAACGCTACATTCATTCAAATATTTCATGTGTTCTAGGACGTTTGAAGCAGGAAAAGAAACGAAAGATATTTCCAGGCTCAATTTTAGAGAGAGAGCTAAAAAGATAGCTGACACAGAAATCGAACCTTATGCAGGCTTGACTAATCTGTTGACCTCCCCTCCTCAGGCAATAGCTTTGATGGGTCATTTATTGCTTATAGCAACTGACAATGACTTCACACTTAAAACGAAATCTTTCAAAAAACAGTTTGAATATTTGAAATACCCCGATTCATTCCGTGCATCTCTGGTGCAATTAACAAATATTGGATGGGATGCATTCAATGAGGCGCATATAAATATGGATTCAATGAAGTTACATATGACAAATATTGATAGCCATTTGAAATTACTAGTTAATGTCATGACAGAAGGAACAAATGATGAAGTGCAATATTTCAGTACAAAAACTCTAAAGAAAATTGGATTAATCGCAGATGAGTGTCTCAAGCTGTCGCTCGATGTTGAAGCGCGTTTTCTTCTCTTCATGAATGTTACGGGTGAACTTCTAGAAGCAAGCACAATGGCAAAAGGTTTTTACGAGGATAAGGCCAAAGATACAGAAATGGCTATTCGAGCCGCGAAGGAAGAGGTTAAGAAATCACAAGAAGAAAAAGAGATGTTGACGAAAAAATTTGAGGAAATCGACGAGGAGATAAAAAGTGCATCAGCAGATTTCAAAAAAGCACTTGATGATGGACCGTCTTCGATGAAGCTAATGGCGTTTTCCATATTCGATGGAACATTTGGAGTTGTCAAGAAATTACTATTTGGAAGAGATCAGTCATTGTATGATCAAGTTCATGACAAACGTGAAACAGAATCAGATGAGGACAGGGCAAAAAATCGTGCATTTGGATTTGCAGCAGATCTACACCTAGCGGTCGATCAATTGGTTGAAATAGCCACTGCTGGTAGTAAAATGGACAAAAAGAACCCGACTGGAATAAAATAGATGACGTAAGAGGTTTAAAACATACTATCTCACATATTGAAAAAAAGCTTACGAAGGATTCCGAACATACAGATGCTCATCATCAGGGTATAAAAATAATCAAGAATGCATTAGAATATTCTGAAAAATTAATTGATCTCCATAAAGAGTTGATGAGAGATGACGATGAAGTGAAACAAGTTGTCATAAACATTGAAGATATTCATCTTGACGTTAAACAATTTTTGGCAGATGCAAAAGAACATATGTATAAAACTCGAGCTGGGTGGAAGCAAACAATATTAAGCTCGGACACATTGGTTCAGCATGAACTAACGAGATCGAGTATAAAAGTCGAAAGTTCAAGAGATGCATTAGAAGATTCGAGACGTAGTAAAGAAGAAACTTTTCAAAACATATTAAACACTAACAAGAGGATAACAAATACTTTGAAAGAATTAGAGAGCTTCAAAATAGAAGAAGTTAATTTTGACGACATCCGAAAGATTTTAGCTAAAGGTTTGAATTCAATAGCAGAAGTTCGTTCTGAATGGGGAAAGATTGTTAGGTTTTTCCAAACTATTTCTACAATAATAAAAATGAAATTTCACGAGAACGTGCACAATTTAGTAGATGATATGGCATTTGCAGTTGATTCAAAGCTAAAACAAGGCAAAATAAACGAATTTACAAACAAAGTTATCTTTGAAGAACTGTTTAAGGTGAGCACTATGACGTATGCTGTTCATGCCATAACATCCACATACGTTGAAGTATCGGACACCCATCTTTTGGACCAACTCAACAGATTGGGTAGTCTTGTCGCACTAGATCCAACCACGGATAAAGAAGAAATTGAACGTCGTCGAGCAGAATTGAATGAACAAAGTAAAAAGACAGTTGACGAAATAAATCTTCTTGTGCTGAAAAAACACAAAGAATATTTTGAAAAAGTTGAAGAAAATCTACGTCAAATAGATTATCACAAATCGAAAGGGAATTGACTTGCTTGTGTTAGTGTGTTTGTGTATGTATTACTAGATGCATCGCTAGTTAAATCGGCGACTTCAAATATGATTCATCCCGTCACTCATTTCAGTATGCACATAGCCAACAATTGCATCTGAATATACCATTTAAATGAAACTTCTAATGTAAGTTAAATCTTGTATATGCGAATGAATGTATAAGTTATTCAAATAAAAAATGTAAGGTATATTTGTGTTTCTTTTAACATGTTCAACCCAGTTTGATACATATAGTCAATCAACATGATTTTAAAAATCATCGAATGAGCAAGCTTAAGGCAGCTATTGCTTAAGGATTTTTATGTTAAAACAATATCTTACTGCATCTAAAAGCTCAAGCATTTTATAGTATAATCTAATTGAAATAATTACTTTTTCCCGTGTTGTAACTTTACGCGATTTATTACATAATTTTAGTTCCTCGGAGTTCAGTATTTTTGTGATTTTACTTTTTTCTTATTTTAAATATACGGTAAAAAAATTATTATCTCTTCAAAATGATTATAAAAAAGGAGATGTGGTGCGATTGCCAATGAAACAAGTCTTCACAAGAGACAAAATGACACAGAGATTAGCAACTATAGGTCACAGTATGTCTTTCAACATAGTCAGCTATGAAAGGCCCCCGAAATGACATGTAAAACAATCCAAACAAACAACCTAACGGCATTATTTATGTACAAAAAAAATGAAAAAAACAAATATGTAACACATCAACAAACGACAACCACGAAATTGCAGGCTCATGTTTTGGAACAGATACATATATACATACAGAATGTGGCGGAGTTAAACTTTTTAGCGGGATCCCCACCCTCCTCCTAACCTGGGACAGTGGTGTAACAGTACAACTTAAAAACTCACCAAAAGTCTGGAGTAATCTCAGGTCACTTTCCGAAGGGTAAGCAGAACCTGCCGCATATGTGGCACCAGTCGTGATGCTCATGTTAGTACAATCCTGGTGAAAATTCTAAACCAGTCGGTCAAATCTTGGAAATTTTGAAGGATTGTGGTAACGACGATTGGAACATATATATATATCATAATCTGTGAATCTTTGAAGACTTTGCGAGTTATTGAATGTTGCGAACGTTGTTAATATATTTATCCTTTATTGTTAATTGAAACCAATATTTATCACTTTTTCACGAAATTTTCTTTGATCTTGCTGACTGATAATTTTCTTTCTCAGCGGCGTCGTATGATATGAAAAATTGTAAAATTATCGCTAGAAACTAAGGGATCACGTGGCGTTTCTAATGAAATTGACATGAAATTGACAACGTCGTCATAGGTAAAATAGCGATAAACAGATTATCATTGGTCATCTCAGCTCGATTGCTTTTCTCACTTTAGCCGTACAGGCTCAAGCGATAAAATCAATATCGTTGAGATAATCGGCGAAAGTGAGAAAAGCAATCGAGTGGAGATGATCAACAATATTCTATGACTATCGCTCTCCTTGTTTGTTTCGTGTGTGTGTGTTCTCTTCGAGATCCGGAGGTCGTTTGTTCAAATCTCGACCGGGTCTAACAAAGACGTAAAAAATGGTACATTATTTGCTGTTTTAGTCTGGTACCCGGCCGTTATTGATATTTTTGACACCATTTGTACATTCCGGGTCTAACAAAGACGTAAAAAATGGTACATAATTTGCTGTTTTATTCTGGTACCCGGCCGTTATTGATATTCTTGACACTATTTGTATATACTAATATTTTACGGAGGGAACCAACCTATTGCTGTTTCAAAGCTAAATTAGCGGTATTTTACAGTACGAACACAGACTTGTCGGTTCGGAGCCAGAAATTTTTCCGGGTAGGGTGACTATTCTTCCTGCGAACTGATATCATCATTTGAACTTACGAATAAAAACTGGCTCAGCGTGTCAATCTAGTACAAAGTAGGATTAATACTCATATTATATTTACATCTAATTGTCATGAATATTCATTTTATATGCCACTTGACGTCATTCATTAACATCATTTTTTTTATCATTATTCTATACAGTGAAGTGTTTTTTCTTCTACTAGTATATATGACATCTCCTTTAATTTCTATCGATCGAAATTTAAAAAAAAAATGACAGGTGATGTTTATGCTTGTTAGGATATCTTTAATGGTAATTAATATATAAAATCAAATGTCCCTGTTGTGATATATATTGTTAAATTAACTCCGTAATTTTTAGTCATGGGACAGTTTTGAGCCTATTCTGTATACGCATCTTTCTATAACAAAATACTGAGTTGACTCCTAGTATTTTGATTTGTCTGTGTCGTTGGGTAGCTGCCACATTAATGTATGCCTGTATCTCATTTTATTCAAATCCAAAGGGCTTGGGTATAGAAATACATGTAATGGCATCTCAGGATCTCTCCAGTCTGACAGTATACCCTTGCTAAAGGGGTGTATCAGTTTGGCTGTTCGGCTGCTTTTATAACAACTATTATACCAGATATAAAAAAAAATTAAAATAGCAAAGTTTGTCCCCTAGACCCCGGTCACACTAGGACATTTAGATCGTTTTAAACTAGATCGGTTCACTTTATAGACTGCCGTCGTTGTAAATTATGATTTATTGCCACTCAATGCGTATTGTTTTCGGTTCTACTCCCCTCCTCCTAGTATGGTTGGCTAAGATATAATGTAAACCCTAATGTGAACTACGTTTTTGTATTTCAAAAAGATTAAATGCAAAGAAAAGATAAAGAAAGAAATGCTGAAATTAAAAAAATCAAATTTATAAATACTGGTATTGGTAAACTGCCTGAGATAATTATCAACTGAAGACAAATGGTTTTACATAACTTAATAATGCTGATTGATAAATTGCTCCCTTGATGTCTAGTGGAAAATATGTCATGCATATTTACGACGAGATGCAAAGTGGATCAAACTAAAGCAAATCAAAACAATTTAAGAGCATCACTTTAATAAGATGGAGAGTTGACTTGAGGTAAAACGTATGTCGCTAATAGAATAAAGTTGAACCATGATAAAAATCGTTAGTTAAGTTATTTTTTGTAACCGATCCTATGTTGGGCCCCCCGATTCCAAGAGGGCGTGTCTAATTAGACATGCCCGATGGACTTTTAGTAAAAAAAACTGCAACTTAAAGACCTACACCGGGTAAATAAGTTCGAGGTACAATAAGTAAACAAAAGAGATCTTTTGTTTAGTGAGATCGTCTCAGGTATCTTAGATAATTATTTTGCTTTGAATAACAATGGAAAATGCACGAACATGTTTGTAATTAATGAAAAGACTTATAACTAAATGCCGAGTTAACCTATATGTTATGTCAGTCTAAAAAGTTGTAATTGGAATGAAAGATACATCATCTGAGAGAGACGAAATGACGTAGAAGTTATCTAATGTAAGTCCCCGTACGCACGACCTTCGATAAGGGTAATCCAAAACCGCATAGTACACGTTAGTAAGCTAAAAAGATCCCAACATGACAAATGTGAAAAATGTGTTTTGTTAGATGTATTCCTGTTTTGTATCGAACTGTTGAATTAAACCCTTTTAACTGATTTGTATAGTTTGTTTTTGTGTTGACTGTTACTCCACTGCCCTAGGTTAGGAAAGGATTGGTGCCTTTTAACACGTTGAACACCGCCATATGCTGTAAATGCTTGTCCCAAGTCAATGGTTGTAGTTTGTTGCATTAATCAGGTCATTAGATTTCTCGTTTGAATTGTTTTATATTTGGCATCTATAGCTGACTAAGCAGTATAGATTTTGCTCATTGTTGAAAATCGTATGGTGACCTATAGTTGTTAATTTATATTTTATTTATGGAAAGTTTTCTCATTGGCAACTTTACATATTCCTATTGAGACTCTGTTTTTATACATTCAGTTATCGGGAATTTTGCATTGAGCATTTCTGCTGCAAGTAGGGCAGGTTTTCACAGTGTTATATTCCCTTTGTTTACCCTTGTATTCATATTTTACTTGATTTGAACTTTATCAGGAAAGTATATAAAATATGTATGTAGTATGACATTATGTCTAACAAATTGTATGGTTACATCAACTACACCACTTGTTCACTTGTTTAGTTGGCGTTTTTGTCACAGTTATTTGTGTGTTGTTTTTGTTTTTGATTATTTTAATTCAGATGTGTTTGCTATGAACATATATGTGCCTGCTGTGTCCAAAGTGGTGTCATATTAACCAATTATGACGGTTTGGCTTGCTACTATAGAAATAAGAAGATGTGGCATGTTTGCAAATAAGACATCATTCCATCAGAGACCGAATGACGTCACAGCTAACAACAATAACTTTATGCACAGCCTTCAAAAATGATCTAAACCCTTACCGCTTAGTAAGCTATAAAAGACCCAGAAATGACAAGTGTAAAACAATTGAAACGAGAAAAACTTGCAGCCTGATTTATGTACAAAACAATAAAGGAAAAACGACCAAATTTGTCAATATGATGGAACTATTAAGAACTGTCATACAAGTGAGAGGTTAATCTAAAGTTTTGTTTACAATTGTGTAATATTTTCCATTTATCACTTTTTGATTGAGTCCCGGCTGATGATGCATGCATTGCCGTAAACGTGTACTTAGTTGACACACCGAGTCTTACACAGTTTGGAGTTCATGGGTTGATTACTCAAAATTTGCAAAAAAGTACAAGACTAAAGATTTTGTCATTATTATGCATTTACAATTCAATCACATCTTTAAAAATACGACAGTATGTTTAATCCACCGCAAAAACAAAACATATACATGTACATGAAGCTGTAATGCTATAAATTTAAGTATAGTTTGGAAGAATTGAAATGGTCCTTGTGTAAAATTGATTGAGGGGATTTAGGAACTTCAACTTACTTTTATTCATTCTCCGACTGCTTATAACTTATTGATGAAGAACTACTTGATTGGCAGGTGCATGTTTACATTTTCCCCAGAAATATTATTATGAATTTCGATAGCTTTTATATATTTTTGCCATATTCTCGTTTAGGAAATTTTGATGTGGTTTGCAAACCTGTAATATCATCTCTTAAAGTGAAGTTCAAATCCGGTAACTTGACATGATAATGACACCAGTCTATCATTGAAGACGGTATTTTGACATGCATACAATATATCGTCTTTGTGTCATTGGCTTGCTGTTCGCCTTGACATAATGCCAAATATCATTGAAATGACAAAATTGAAGATTGAACGTTTTTGTTAGAACCAAAAAATATATCAATATAACAATATTTATTTATAATCCAGTTTCTTTCACGGGTGTCACTTGTAAATCAGGATCTGCATACTCTTCCACATGTACATGGGATCATCCCAAGTTTTGGTGGGTGTCGTGTTGCTCAGTCTTTTGTTTTTCAGTTTTTTATATCTGTTTGTTATGACGTTTTTTTAGCTATGGCGTTGTCAGTTTATACTCGACTCATGAGTTTTCATGCCCCTTTATTATCTGTCACCTTCCATTCTTTCTCTGGTGATATGTTTTCATATGATATCCTTGTTTTCATACTGCATATCAGTTTTTCACTGTTTATGCTCCCGTTTTCATTGATGTCACCCATCAATTTTGTATATTTTTTTTTTCATTTACAAATCGCTATTTCTATCAATTTTCGAACCTCTAAACATAATTGGAGAAAATATTGACTCAGCCTATTAATATAATTTTTACATCTAAATATCATTTATCATCACTAACATATACAAGCTTATACATACACCTAACACTTGAGATATTGAATTTGTTTACAATAAAGTTTGTAGATTTGTACTTATTCATCGTATATTTTATTTGCCAAATTTCTTTCATATTTCCACTATAAACGATCCCTATTCTATTTATGTCACAAGTCATATATGTGTCTAAATCCTAGACAAACTATGTATTGTATCATCTCCCTTTTTTTTTTGGTAATATTTATTAAGAACACCTATTTATACACATTGCTCACTACATAAAATAAGTGCATTTAAATAAACAAACTTATAAATAGCTATATATTGACTATCTAATCAGATTTTTTCATGTGTTGTTATGACGTCAAATAGTCACATTACTCAGTTCGACATTGAATCTATTCTTTATTGACATTCTAGCATATCGGACTGTGATTTCTTTTGAAGACTGAAGTAAGAAAATTTTGATAATTTACTTAATTATTAGATTAAATTAAATTGGAACAGTTTTCAGTCATCAAATCATCTCGAAGTACATATTTTAATTTCTTTTGTTTTCCATTGAATTATGCATTTTCTGAAAATAATGACATGTGAATACCCTCAGCTCAAAGGAAACATAGAAACAATGCCAGGTTTAACAATTAAATTAAATATTGATCATGATATTGTCACGTTGTTATAGTTGCGCGTAAATAAACCCATTGCATATAGGTCAATATCAAATACTAAGGATATGATTATTTATAACATGTCACAATTTTGTAAATTTGAGACAATTCTTTAAGTTTATATGGTTGAAACTTGTTTATTACACAAACTTTCGAATATCCTCTCCCAATTGTTTTTGTTTTCTACTGTAATAAACAAGGAAGATCTAAATGTATATCAAATAATTCACCCGAGTATCTATTTATATATAAATTTGCACAGAGACAGTTTAGTTTAATAATCTTATTTATATGTGTGTGTTTTTTTATTGTTTGATTATCTATGTATATTTTCATATTTTACAATAATATGAATGTTAGTACGAGGTACGTTTTCAAAACATGTATATTTTTAAACCATGACACACCACCTGGATCATTCCGAGAAATAAATTATATTATCACGAAATGTTTTTAGACTTTGATCATTGGCGTGTTTGCTGAAGTAGAAATATATTTTTCCATTTATTCAGTTTTATTCTGTTATAAAATTAGATAAGGTTTTTTTTCTAGTTTCAGGAAAATGTTGAAACAAACCCTCATATCTGATGAATTTAATAATCGATCACAAATTCAACAATAGAAATGAATAACTGTCGTTACATTTGTCATGTTTGTATTACAGTGCTAAATAACATCAAAAATGTTAGCGTGATATAAAATTGTATAAAAGTAAACTATATCTAAAAGTTTTGTAAATTTGATACCTATTTGATCTAATAGTAGTTTATAATAGTTACTTTAACAAGGAAGTTTTTTCCCAATGTCAATCAAATAATACACTTGGGTATTTCGTATAAATCTATATATAGATAACTATAAGAGAAATTTCATTAAATAATTTGTCATTTTAATTTATTTTATTGGCGATCAGTTTTTTTCTGTATTTTCTAATTGAAATTGAATGATATTTTCAAATTATATATTTGCTATTGGTTGCGTTTACATTCCAAATTGTTATTTTGTAACATCTATTTTTGAACAATGACACCCCTTGGTTGATTCCAAGAAACAAATCTTTGTGTAATTTTCGCTTTTGATAATGTTTAAAACTGTTATGGGAATTGTTAACAACGAGGTTGATATGTGTCATAGGAATATATAATTAAAACTATTCAAATAAAACAGATTATATTATTCTTAAAATGTCTTTCATATTGAATCAATCATGATGTGTATGTGTGATTAAAAGTGTATATCCAAACACTGAACATATTTAAACACTTTATACAGTCAAGGTATCACTATTATGCATTTATGCATATGAGGGAACAACTTTAGTTGATAAAATTGGATAAAACTAGACTTATATTTTTCTTATAGCTTATCATTTAAAACTCTTGATATATTAAGATGACTACAAGCTATGGTCTTATGAATAGAACTTGACGAAATTTTCTTTTATGAAAAAAAAAGATTATGGGATAGAGAATATAGTATAAGAGAAAAAATATTTTACAATTCGTGCTCAAGCTTGTATCTTGATTGTTATTATTTGGCAAACACTTTAGTGTTTAATGAAATTATGTTATTAAAATAATTTGTACAGAATGACAAATTGAACCCTACAAATATATAATATCTTGATAAATATTTATTATTAGTATTAGGAATTTTCTAATTTAATTTTAATTTGAATAGGATTTTAAATAGAACTAGATCATTCGCATTGTGACAGTGTTTACAGATATGAATCATATAAACATGAAAAGATTTGTATTACTTTTAAATATACATGTAAATTGCACGTGTGCAGGTTATTTTTTTTCAATTGTGTTTTTGAATTAAATTTTATTCTGACGAAGATATGTACATGATGTATTGTTATTTTTGAGTAGGAGGAAATTCCAAAATATAACTTTCCCATGTCTAAACATATCTTATTGTATACTTTAGGGGCCAGCTGAAGGACGCCTCCGGGTGCGGGAGTTTCTCGCTGCATTGAAGACCCATTGGTGGCCTTCAGCTGTTTTCTGCTCTATGGTCGGGTTGTTGTCTCTTTGACACATTCCCCATTTCCATTCTCAATCTTTTTTTTATTTTTTCGTCTTAATGAATGAAAAGTTATCGGTAAATATGCTAGTATTCCGGTCAAGTAAATCTAGAAATATCAAATGTTGATCTACTACATAGAAAGAAACGCTATCTTTTAAATTATCTGGCATTATTGCACGTAAATGAAATTATTCATAAAATGACAAATTTACAATTAAAACAACTAAAACAAATCTTGTTATCAGCTATGGGGAATATATTATACATGTTTTCTAAGTTTGAATGCGCGTAACCTAGTTTTGTCATTTTGAACTACCCCCAAGGGTGACTGGGGAATAGAAGTATGGTCACCATTGGTCTTCCTCCGACCGGCAGTAAAACCCTTGCTAAAGTGGGGCGTCCGTTTGGCTGTGCGGGATGTACAAATTTGCAGCCACGTCCGGTCAGAATGGAGACGTTAAATCCTATGACTCGTGTAAAGAGAGTGCCACGCTCTTTGCAAGTTAAGAACCCTTGCAACAACTCTTTGAGGGGTCCGTAGGTGACCTGTTGCAAGGCTAAATTTCTGTCCCTATCCAATATACCATCATTTCCCGTGGCAGTCTAAATTTCTCAGACCTTAATCCCGGACGCCCTTATTACAGAACCTACCTATTGTATTTATTGTTAATTTGTTCTCGCCCTGAATATGCGTGAAATATTTGCCACTGGACGTTAAGCAACCAACAATCAATCAATCATTTTGAACTGTACTATGTAAGGGGAAGGTTGTAACCTACAAAATATTCTAACCCCGCCATATTCTATATGCGCCTGTCACAAAAGAGGGGCGAAAGATACCAGAGGGAAAGTCAAACTCATAAATCAAAAATAAACTGACAACGCCACAAGTTAGGGCCTTGGTATTTAATGGTTGTCGTTTTTTTCTGTTTCTCATATTATTATTTTTAAGTTTATTATTTTGCATAGTTTGTTCTTTTGTTAAGTCGTCACACAACTGTCAAAGATCAGGGGAATGATTTGGCGTTACTAGTTTAACACCGCCATATTATGTATATGCCTGTCCCAAGTCAGCAACCTTTTATTCAGTGGTTGTCGTTTGTTGCTGTATTTCTTATTTGTTTTTTTATTCATAATTTAGCACATGAATCAAGCCGTCAGTTTTCTCGTTTGTATTGTTTGCCATTTGTCATATCTGGAACTTTGATAGCTGACTTTGCAGTATAGTTTTACTCATTATTAGAGGCACTACGATGTGCTATTGTTGTGAATGTCTGTCATTTTGATCTTTTGTGGAGATTTATTTTAACTGCAATCATACCATCTCTTTTTATTTTTATATTATATAAACTTTTAAATCTTTGGTTAGTAAATCAAATATGAAACGCAACTGGCAATTTCCTATAGTCTTTCGTACGTTGTTTATTGTCCTACAAGACAAACTTTTGATACACGTTTGATGCATCATTGTCTAAATGATGTTCGGTTTAAATAATTAAAATTTGATGTAAACAACTATTAAGCGTTAATACATGATGAAGTTATTAAATTTGATTTACGATTAATTGCAAAGTCAAACGATAGACTAGTATATTTTGTAAATAATTTCAACCAACCTTTTTGTTAATTGGATTATACCATACTGTGTTTTTTTTTGTTCTTGAGTCTACAAAATGTTATACAAAACTAAACAGTCATGTTTTTCTTTATGTCTAGTATGAATTGGGGGCTAAGGGTGTCATTTCTGTGTTCTCTGCATGTTGTTTTTTTTTGGCAATTTATCACTATTCTACATTAAAAATATCTTTTTATTTGTGTACCACATCATTTTCTTAACGCATCTGTCAACCGATATACATCTTTTTTAAATAAGTGTGAGTCAATCACCGTTAATTCGTCGAAAGCCGATTTCGTTTCACGAATTGACTAAAACGATTCTTTATTCTTATTATTTAACTTTTGATATCTTTTGATATATAAATCTTGAATTATATTTTTTTTATATGTAAAAAGATAAACAAGTATTTCGACAAATATATCTATAATTAGACGGCAAAAATTCTTGTCTTATTTTCAGATGAATATAAATAAAATCGAGTCAATCGTATTTTGTCTGTTTACCAGGTATAACATTATTAATCAAGAACAAAATTTATAACTATAATAACTTGATAAATATAAATGTGAAATTTGATATAGGTATATTGAATCTACCAATATTTATAAAACCCAACGGAATATAAATGTGAAAGTTGATATAGGTATATTGAATGTACCAATATGGAACGCCACTGCTGCCTTATGATAACAATAACCATATTATTAAGGGTACAGATATATCATGAAGCAAATGTTACATAATATAACGACATTTGACTATAATACTCTGTCAATTTGCTATATCACTAAGATAAATTCATATACTATAAAGACGCTTTGATACATCATGGAGTTACCTTTTTATACTATTCTGTCATTTCACTTTGTTATGAAGATAATATTTCATACTATGAAGACATCTTAATGTAACATGGAGTTACATTTTCATACTGATTTGTCATTTTACTAAACTATTATGTAATATTGCTATGTCATAAAGATTCATTTTATACTATAAAGACATTTTAATATAATATTAAGCAACTTTTTCATACTATTTTGTCATCTCAGTATATTATAACGATAAATGTGTATACCATACAATCATCTCGATATATTATAGAACCATTTTGTCATACTATTATGTCATATACCTATCTTATAAAGACATATTTCAATATCAAGCTAACAATTCTTTTATCACGAGGTGATATGTATAAATATGTATAAATGACATAGCATTATCACATAATAGTTTAGTAAAATGACAAATCAGTATAAACATGTAGCTCCATGTTATTTCAAGATGTCTTCATAGTATGAAATATTATCTTCATAACAAAGTGAACATGGTGAAATGACAGAATAGTATGAAAAGGTAACTCCATGATGTATCAAAGCGTCTTTATAGTATATAAATTTATCTTAGTGATATAGCAAATTGACAGAGTATTATAGTCAAATGTCGTTATAGTATAGAACATTTGCTTTATGATATATATATCTAACCTTAATGACATGGTTATTGTTATCATAAGGCAGCTGTGTTGTTCCATATACCAATATTTATAAAACTTGACGGACTGTTTGTACTGATAGGTTGTGCTATATTTGAGTAGTTAAGGTGTTCGAAATAAAGATTCTGGTTTACAAAAATTATATCCCTTTTTGTCTGTCAAAATGCAAAACTATGGAGATACGTGCTACCATTCTGACTGACTGAAATATATATTGATCAATTCAAATGTTATATTTCAGTTATAAATTATTCTATGTGTTCCTTTAAAATATTGATGTTATAAAATTATTACCATGCTAATCCGTACAACAACAACAAATCGAAATTCTTACAAATATGAAGCTAAGCACCACCTGGTACAATGTGGTGGTATAGCAGTGCATGTGGCCAAACATATACATGCCTATAAATATAAAAATATATGTATACATTAAGTAGAGATGTAAACTTGGTGAACAATTACTAATCGATTATTCGATGATTTTATCGGGCGATACTCGAGTACTTACTCGGGAATATATCAGCAACACAGAACCATAAAAGTACGTAATTCTATGTTTTGTTGTTCGATGGACGAAAACCAGTCTACATAAGTATCTTGGATAATGAATTACACATGTTTTTTATGACATATTTTTATTTGATTATTTTAACAAGAAAAACCATATCAAATACTAGTATTTGGTAATCGTTAAGAAAACACATGTAACGTTTTGCAAAGGCGTAATGATTAGAAGTCAAAAGGATGCGACGAATGTATTTTAATTGGAGCCATTTTCTTGTCAACTATTATGGGGGACAGTCGGTTTCGCAGCTTTGTAAATAACATTCTTGCAGACGAGGATATTTGATCTGACGGCTTGCCTAAGACATGTTTAAAATGTAAGCTTTGGTACAGCCTAAATATTTTCCCAGACATTTTAAATAACATCTTAGTACATGCATTCGACACAAAATGTTTTTCATTTACTAGTATGATTAATTAGTGATGCTTTTTTAATTTTCCGAAAGAGGTTCTCAAGAAGATCGATTTTATGTAAAGAAGACAGCAATATTTTAACAGGAAACCGAATATTCGAGTATCGTTTTGGTATTCGATACTCGGATCTACCTAGCGATTCTCAAATACTCCAAAACTCGTTGACACCCCGAATATTAACATATATATATCGGATGTATCGTATCGGGGTTTTATTTATTTCGAATACGTTTGATAAGTGTGTTCGAAAATCATAAATGCTTGGTGACTAAACATTTTGAACTAAATATAGCTTTATTAAAATAAATATGTATAGCTTAATAGTAAGTTATGTTTTGGACACTGATTGAAATAAGTACAAAAACAATGTTATAGTTTGATGTGATACTGTGGGTTACATAGTTTATAATGATTAGACAACTTTCGAGTTCGTTTTATTTCCGTCAAAAACTTTGGTTTTAGTGAACATCTTTCGTGCGTTAAGGGGCTTGTCATTTGCGTTCCTATGTTGAGCGATCGGTTTTAAAAATTATAATGCTATATTACACAAATTACTCGGCAAAGTAAATTCTTATAACTGATATTCAGCACTGCTTTTATTAGGGAATTGTGATTACGTACTTACGGAACAAATATTATTTCTAGTTTATCTTGTATAATGACGATCACAAAGACGCTTGATGAATTTTAATTGAGCAGGGACACATGCGATCCCCTCTATCTGGTAAATGACGTCATAAAGGCGCGCAAAATTGACGAGTTTTTCTGGTGAAGCACAAACTCGAAAGTGGTCTATTGAATAACCATAAGATTTTCTATCTTTTTGTTTTGAAGTAGGATATAAACAAGACATTTCTGTATAAGTCTGTTTTTCTAGATGCAAATGTTTTTGCAATATTTATTGTTACATTCTTCGAAGCCACACAAGCATCTGATTATCATGTTACCATGGTTATGTTAGGACAATTAAATATGATTGAACGTATTCAAAGCCTTTGTTATTTATCAATTTACACATTTTACCTTTGTTTCGAGGTAAGTTGATGAAGAAAACTGATTAGGACAACGTGTCTTTTAAAGGGACACTAGCTGTCAAATCCTTGTTCACCAATTTGACTCAAGTTCTCATATTTGATTTATAACCATGAAAAACATTTATCCAAATTATGTTAGGACTTAAATAAACTTTTAAAGGGCATGGGCTTGATAATATGTTGCCTCGTTTTGTGTGTATTTTAGTCTTGACGCCATCTATTTAACTATCGAGTTGACCCCCGAGTACAGAACTATAGGTATAAATAAAAAGTGAACTCGTGTAATTGGATTTTTCTAGGTCTGCTCAATTTCATATTATAGATTAAAAATATATGTTATTCATCGTGTTTACCTCTATAAGAATGTTCAACAAATCATACTTTAGATTTTTTATATATGTCATAGCTAGTGTCCATTTAATCAACAATCACTGGATTGATCACAGTGCATAGAGACTGAGAAACGAACGAATTATATTTTTGAACATTTTACATCTCGCTTATGCTCATTTAAAAGGTATTGAAAAATACTGTGGCTACCTTTAAAACGGCTTGTGATCCCAACAGTGTCATGAATAACTTTAATAAAAGCCCCAGCTTTTCTTTCCGTAATTTGTTTTCCCTTCCTTTCTAATGTTGCAACCAATCCAAACCAAGTATTTATTTTAGTAAAGATTTAAACGAATATATGTAATTTTTTATACAGTGTAAGTATTCGATGAAATGAAGTTAAATAGATAAAGTAAAATCAATGTTCGTGTAATATACAATAAATTCTGATCGTTCTCTTTGTTGTATTTAATTAATAGTAGTTATTGTTGAAATGAGAAGTTTTCAGAAAAACACTTTCTATTTATGTGTTTACGATATTGAAGGTTAGATTAAATCCTGAACGCACTTTACTGAACACAAGCAAAGGAACGGTTTTCCTCAAAGTCACAGTTTTTCAAAAGAAAGACTAAAGATACCAAAGGGATAATTAAACTTTGAGTGAAAGACAAACTGACGTCCTGACGCGAAACTGAAAACGACCAAAAGACACACAACAGTCTTCAAAGCACATGCCAACATAGAAAATCAGAATTAAGCAACACGAACCCTACAAGAAAACTGGTTAATGCTATCAGGTGCTTCGGAAGCTTTTATGCAGATCCTGCTCTACATGAATACAAAAACGCATCAATAATAAAGGACAACAGTAGTTTACCAAAAGTTAAATCGATTAAGAAGACAAATAAGGGTACCAAACTATCGAAATCAACTGAACCCCAACAGGCGTGAGACTGGGTACAAAAAACAAGATTGGGACGGATCCTGGTACTAGTTAAGCCGGAATTACTCGCTAGATTCGATAACGCCATAAATAAAGTTATATATAATTTTTTAATCTAAATTTTCTTATGTTTTGATATATTCAATATCTACAAGTATTGTTATACACTATAGATTGTCATTGTTGATGATCTAAAATTGAATTAAAATAATTTATCATTATATTTTGTAAATATTGCTAGTTTCAATGATCATGCATTCTATGGAAATTAACCCAATTTGAAATCAAGATAGTTATCTGCATTTTACTCTAACATCGAGTAGCTTCGTGTAGCCTCTGTTTCGGAATATGACATCCGATGATCGGCAAGGAGTGATATAACGCACATATTTAGCACATTTTTCGATAATACTAACTTGACAATGTATTCAATTTTTACTTGCAGGTAAACAAATCAATTTGCATGATTATAACAAATAAAATGGGAGTGTTAACTCAACAGCATGAACATTACTGGATTGTGAAGTCTTCTAAACTGATTTTGATGTGCAAAGAACAACATAAGAAAGTTAATGCCACAGGAAAACACAGATATTTATTTTTTAAAACATCATTTCATGCATGCAACGACATAGGAATGCTTGATGACCAAATACGAGATTAGAAAATTTGAATATTAACATAACTATTTGTCATTTTAAATTTCAAAATTAAGTTTTGATTGGCATATTTTATTCTCCATAAACAGTGTTATCGTTTTGCTGGCAAAAGTCGAATTATGGCTTTGAGTACTCTGAATACGATTAACGCGACTTCAAAACTGGCATCCTATGCAAATTGGAATGGTCCCCATTTTCCAATTATCATGGCAGGAAAGGGATTTAGCTACAGTGGACATGATTTAATCATTGAATGCGATGATTGTAAAGCTAAAGTGGATATGAAAACTGAAGATATAATTTCGTTATCAGATGGCCATGCAGTTAGTTGTAGGATAAGTCAGCTATTGCGTAAGAAAAAGGCAAATCCAAATGTAAGTCAAGGGATTCCTGTTTCTCAACAAATGTATCGTAAACAATTCACAGACGAACATTTGTTGTATCCGTCCTTAGCTTCAATTATGCTAGCACCAAGCGATGAGTGTTCATGCAAGCTATGTTGCCGAGGAAACAATATACTTACCACTCCGTTTCCCTTAAGATCTATCGATATGTATGGATATCCAAGGATCTATGGAAAGAATCTTATAAATTCAATAAAGCAAAGATTAGAGGAGCACAATGGTCCAATACACGCACAGTTAACAGATGTAGAAGTACGTCAAAGAACTTTTGCATTGTACGGGATGGATGAGAATATTGAAACTTTGGCTGAAGCAGGGTTTTACTATGCAGGTAAACGTATTTTTTTCGTATTAGATAGTGTTGCTTCAAAACTCACGAACTACCTTTAACCTAACCCCAACTCGTTTCAAATCAGGAATATCTTTAATCTTTTAAACTGACAGGTTGTCATCTATGATATAAGGAAAAATGAATTATTTTCCCTTTTAATCTGAGGACACATATGTCCGCTCTTGGTAATTTTTTTTTTTTTTTTTTTTTTTATTATTTTTTATTTTTTTTATCAAAGTATGAGTAATGCATGAACACATTGTAGACTTTTTAATGCACACAATATTGTATTTCTTTTTGTCCATATCATTTTGAATATTATTTCTTTATAGGTCAAAGAAAGGAAATCGTTTGTTTTTATTGCGACGGTAGTCTTCGTAAAGAGGTACTTGAAACTAATCCGTGGAAGGAACATGGTCGATGGTTCCCAGTCTGTCCTCATGTTCTGAAAACGAAGGGAGAGGAATTTGTACATGATATAACGATTGTAAGCCTCTAAATTTGTATGTGTTTTTATTTTTTTTATGAAATAATTAAACAATGTTCATGTCCGAAAAAGACAGGTGTATTCTACTAAATTTAATAAAAAATAATATACCACATTAGAATTAGAAAGGTTGCATCTGAGGCAGATTATAGTACTTACCTTCATAAACTTGATTAAGGACGTTGAGACGACTAAATCTAAATGTATAGTTTAATAGAGCATTAGATTCGTCTAAGAACATCCTATGGGTTTTGTTAAAGTACTGTAAAATATCCTATTACTTTGGGTTCATTATTATTCGTTGGATACCAATTTTCGTGGGTTTCGTGTGTACAGGTGAACCACGAATTTGAATTTTCAACGAATTTTAAATTTTCTATAGGCTTTGTAAGCAGTGATTGGCAAATCACGCAATCAAATATCCACAAAAATGCAGGTTTTCCTCAATCCACGAAAATTGATACCCACGAAAATAAATGAATCCACAGTAAACCGTCTATCACCAGAAAAAGAAGAAGCATATAGCACATGTAGCATTTGTATTACATGTTGAAATTAAGATAAGTGTATTCTGAGTGTAATTTCCGCCAGTTATTCATGCATACGTTGATTTAATTTAACTTTGTTATATGCCTGGTATCTTTGGCGATGTTTTACAACCACTAGATCGATGCATCTTCTAGTGGGCTAAAATTATCATCAGCCTAGTAGTCAATATTCCTTTGATATGATTAAATATTAATGATATAATTTTTGTAAATTTTACCATTTGACAATGATTAATTATTCTGAAGACAATTCTCAAACAATGGTCTGAACAATATATGGCACTGCTTTATGTGTATCAGTTGTGGTTATGGATGCTATACAAACTAGTTTTCAATTTGCCCATCCAACTGTTTTGTTGTGATTTTCATTGATGCGTATTATTGTTACCAAACGTTCATCCGTAATAACAAATCCTACATCTGGTATATTTAATGAGTGATCTTTTTTCTGTTATGCCTGAACTGCTGTTTTTTTTTTTTTTTTTTTTTTGCTTTGAATTGTTCACTTATCTTTGAAAAACGCCAAACATGCTAGTACAACGAAATAGTATTTTTTGTGTTTTGTATCGACAGTAATCTGTATTTCTCTAACACATTTTGGCATATTGAAATGTCAAAAGAACAATGCCTTTTTCACAAAATAATACTATGGTCTATCTTTTCCAGAACACCAAAGCACTAAAGACACACCTTAAAGGTTAGTATGAAAGAATACAGTAGTTGTCTAACCTCAAACACGTTTTAAACGATACCAATTTAGCTGTTTAGGTTGAGTAAGACGTTCAATTATGATAAAAAAAAAAGTTATTTTTCTATGTGGCAGGGTCGTCAAAGAATTTTTTTAATTTAGTTTAGTAAAATTAATTTACAAAAACTTGTAGACTCCGGATGAGACTTGTTCAGGATATATGAAACATCTTCATTATTGATATTGCAAAATAAAAAATTCATTTCCTTGCAAATATATCAAACTAAACATAAGTATACAACAATAGATAGAAGGCGATACAATATGTCAAGATCTACATCACCTCAGTTAAGACCAGTGTTAAATAAATTAATAAAAGACTATAAATTATCTATAATCTTATTCATTTTTTTTTAACTTCCAAAAGCATTTACAGGAATAGAATATCTTAGCTGCATTTTGGCAAAACTTTTTGAGACTTTTGGTTCCTCAATGCTCTTCAACTTCGTTCTTTATTTGGCCTTTTATCTTCTTATTTATTAGAGCTTTACTGATGATGCTTTTGTAGGTCCTGACGTAAACTATAAGCCTAACCTCCTTGATGAGTTTTTTCTTATATACAAAAAATAACTACAACTGTTGATATATCTGACTTTGAATAGACACATAATTCTAGTCAATTTTAACATTTTATTTGCGTAATTTATGTTTAATGCGTTTCATATTTTTTTCATTTCCAAATTCACAATACTACTCTTTTAAGGTTTATAACGAAACATATGATGTGCGCTTGAGAATTATATAATCCGTTTAAAAGAACAAACCTTAATCGTAATGCTATCACAAACAGGTCTGTTTAGTCAGAAGTGATTATAGTATTACAACAACTGCAGATAAGTTATAAAACATTATATTAACGTAAAACCTTTTATACTAAAATGTACAGAAAGTCTTGAATATGCAACAAGTATATGAAATAGTAAAAGAACAGATTTCTTCACTTTATTTCATAATCACAAACATGCACTTCGACTTTGTCGTCTTTAGCGCTTTTGTCAATTTAAAGGAAATATTAATAACTGTCAAACAAGTGGGAGGTTAAGCTAGCTTTAAAACCAGGTTTAACCCACAATCATCTTCGAAAAATACGTGTACAAAGTCCGGAATATGACAGATATCCTTCGCTCGTTCCATTCATTGATAACAATTGATTTTGTCAGTTTTATCGACTTCCCTTATTTGAATTTACATTGGAGTTCAGTAGTTTTGTTATACTTTTTTACAGGATTAAACAGGCCCAAGGAGATGCAACTGTCTATAATTATAGATGCTATCAATGAGGGATATCCTAGATGCATTATTCAACAAACAATACAAGGTTTTTTTTCTGAATATGGTACGTGTTATAACATGAGGGTGTGGATGGGTTTAACAGAATTGAGAATAATGGTAAAAAAAATATAAAGAATAGAGAATAACGGACCAAAAAAATAAAGAATAATGAACAATGAGGTGCTAAAATATAAAGAATAGAGAATAATGAGCAAAAAGTATTTACAAAATAGAGAAATTTGCCCTACAAAATTAAAGACTACAGAAATTAAGGACAAACCTCCAAACCCCCCCCCCCCCCCCCCCCCCCCCCCCCAAATCAAGACCCTCATGATATAGTTTACAAGCAATCTATTTTTTTTAGGTTTAATTATTATGTTGGTTAAATGTCGGTTACTTAATTAAAATTAATAAAATTTAAAACTTGTTTTTTAATGAGAAAATATACTGCAGATTTTTTGTTGAATTTAGGTTACCAATAGTAACAGTAATGAGTATGAACTTTTTACTTTGATTTTAATATTTACCGAAACACCTGTAATTGTTTGAATTATTCAGTATTGTTTTTATTTTACTTGCAGGAAGCTTTCCAAATCGTGAGGAATTTTCAAGTTGTGTGGAGAGCATTAAACAATGGAAGACCTTTGTAAACGTACCTTGTGTCTGATTGTTCTGATACAATTCATGACAATAGTTGTTTATCAAAAACATTGTACATTAGTAGTCATAAAAGGCTATCATGAACTTAGATGGTGCTTAGTGTACACAGAAACTGCCTTTAAGAAATTTGGAGTAACACTAATAATTTGATATGGGTGTATTAAATGTGCAGCATAAAAGACAACATGTACAGATGATTCCTGTATAAAGACAAATTACGCGTGCTAAAAATATTTATTATGGAAATGTGCCATCTGTTGTGTGCTGAACTACACTAAATATTTTGAACTTATGTTTATTATACAGACTTGTGTACCTCGACCTAACATTTTGGTTTGGTAGGATAACATTAGGTTAATATATAATTTGCAATGACAATGTGTATTTGCTTATACTAACCTTAATTACATCAATCTGATGTAAGCGTTTGATAGAATATAAGACAGATTATCACATTTTGTTTAAAATGCTTACATTGTTGATAAATGAGCAAACCCTAGTAGATTGTACTTTGGCCAATGATGTGTGAATAAAAACAACAGGAAGGTAGTAAACCTGTACTTGTTTTATAATATATATATATATATATATATATATCATACTTTTATAGATACAATGTACTTTTAATTTATTTCAACAAATCAACAAAAACAGTAAATCCGTGTTTTATTTTTTAAAGGCTGGGATTAGCTTGTCAAATCCAAATAGTATACTAGCCATAAAAATGTAAAACGACTATATCAGGAAAATGATATTCATAGATAAAGTACATTTTAGTGCTTTACAGAAATTTTTTTTTTTCATCAACCTTACTATATGCTTAATAACATTGTTGCAAATGCAATTTCGTGTGATATCATTGGTTTGTTTTTTACCTTGATATATATATTCTAAATATATCGAAGCGATGTGAAGATCGAAGGATAACTGTTGTCTCTTATTTAGGCTTTCATTTTGTTTATATATGTTACTGTGTTGGGTATGATTATGATATTTCAGCCATTTTTGTTGTCATTATGACCTGATTTATTCAAATTACATTCATTACTTTAACTTATATTATCGTATGGACAAAACAAACGAAAATCTACTTTTCCTGACTGTCTCTCATTTGGCCACTGGACGTTAAGCAACCAACAATGAATCAATCTCATTTATTTGAACGACTGCAAGAGGATATGGATGGGTTTACAGAATAGAGAATAATGGGCCAAATGTGCAGAATAAAGGGGCAATAAACTAAAGATTACAGAAAAATAGGCCAACAAATTAAAGAATAGAGAATAATGAGGTGCTAAAATATAAAGAACAGAGAACAAGAGACAAAGTTTATAAGAAAAAGAGAAAAATGGCATAAAAATTAAAGTATACAGAAGTGAAAGATTCCATCTTTCTCCTTTCCAAATCCAAACTCTCCTGTTTATCATTAGAAATTTTAGTTTCATATTTTGCATTTGTTTGAATGCAATTAAAAGAACTAAAAATCATCCTCAGCTTAAATAGCTATATAGTGTAGTCTCGATTTCCGGAGTACTGATAAATATTAAACTTTGATATTTTTTAATAATCCATATGTTCCAATGCATTTTCTTTGCAACCTGGTGAATGAAGATCAACCAAATAAAAAAAAAACACTCATTTACTAATTATGTATGTTCGATTATGACTTATTTAGATTCTGTGCTGTTAAATGATTTTTCGCAGTATTATACATTTAAATTTTGTAGATTTGACAAACATATACCAATGGCACTTTACTTACAATAGGGTTTCAAATATCTTTGATTATGGTATGCTACATTGAATAAAAGACATTGAAATGTGTGTTTTTTTAACATGATTAAAAAGAGTAGATCATTAACACTTTGTTTTCCCCTAAATAATATAACGTTTCAAGGAAAGTATTTCAAGACTTAGTTCTTGTTTTAAGCGCAATAAATTCCTTTTTTCTTTCAAGGTATACGTTATATGCATGGTATCAGCGTGATGTTTGTTGTAAGTGCAGTAAATTTAATATTTTCAAGTCGTTAGTTATCTGTATGGCATCAGCTTGATATAATCTGCTGGTGATTACTGTTATAAATTCATCATATATGCCAAGCTTGTTATTTCTAATCAAACGTTACACGCTTGTAGTGCACGTCGCATTGAGTAGTAAGATGTATAATTATTGAGTCGAATGATCATGGTGTATATTTCATATTCTGTAACATAATTATTATTATTTTTATCATTGTAATAATTTTATTAATATTCTATTCTTATTTATGTTTATGTTTATATATTAATACTTTTCATTTCATATATATTGTTGTTTCGACATTATAAGAATCTACTCATAATTTTTTTAAGTTTGATGTCATATTTGCATGTTTGAGTCTGTGTTGATTTATTTGCTATAACAAATCTGAGGTCGTTGCATTTGTTTTTGAGATAAACATTACATACAGGAAAATCAGGATTTTTGTGAGTATTTCCATATGTGGGTGTATGCACACTTTAAACCTGCATTGTATGGTTATTGTTTTTGTCAAAGCAGAAATTGTCTTGATGCTAATAGATGCTTGATGACAATAAGGTTATTTAAAAAAAACGAGTGCTGACTTTTTGATACTATATGACGATCATGTTTGCCAATTAATATCGATATTATCTGAAGATAATTTCAGATATCAATGGTAGAACTGCTGCAATTTTTTGAACGGAACCTTTTGTTTGTCTTCCTATAGTATTGTGAAAATGTTGTGAACATAATAAAAAGTCGTAAGTGATCTTTTGTCGAAAGAACCGATCTAGCGTGATTTATTTTAGTGATTTCCGCGTCCGGTTCCATTGATTTCCTGATTTCGCAAGAACATGTTCCACCTTTCCCCTGTATACGAACCCTGTTTTGCACCTTTAATAAAGTTTATAATTGCTCTTTTCACAATGTTGACGGACGAAAAACACGAAAGAAGACAAATAGTTTTACACATTGAATATTGTGGGCAGAAATATTTATCTTTTATCCAATAAATGTTAAATGTCATTATCTATGGCTTCTGCAATATATTTGTCTCCATGGCATTTATTCAATATTTACTTATACCGATTAAGATCGATGCCCGTATTTTGGATAAGGTCATTCTCAAAACAGTTATAGTTTGTTATATAGTGTTAATTCATTCGTATGCAGCTCTCATTTTCAGTATTTTTATTCCGAAATGGGATATAACTTTATGCCACGTCAAACCCTTTCCTTTTGATCTTATATACAAACAAATGTTAGGTGTATTTCTCAAACTCATTGATTCATTATTGTTTAAGTTGTTTTAAACTCTCTGTCCGATGCTTTTTCTTGTGTTTATTCATACTGATAAAATATATCAAAATATGCATGTATTTCTACTTGGATTTTCCAATATATATGTTTTCTTAATGTAGTCACTATCAAGGAGGAATGTAAGAAATAACTTATGAAATTACAACTTCAAGAGAAAATCTGTCACCCTCACAAATTTTCGCTATGATTTGTTAATTGGGTTTCTCATCTCCGTAAATTGACTTTAAAATTTATTTTTAAAACAAGATTGTTTAGTCCTACGTCAGATGCGACATGTTTGTCGTGGATTATAATATTTACCTATTCGATCACACATAGTTCTTCATATTATATAACACCGAACATTTCCATTCGTGAAAAAAAAAATGCAGAATATCATTCCATTTGATCATCACCAAATATTTTGTTGGATAAATGTATTAACGTTTATCTAATTAGAAACAGTGTGATGAAAAGTTGTCAATGGGTTTTGTTAACAATGTGTAAAGTATTGCATATACCTAAAGGAAAATTAAAATTTAAATGTGATTTGTAATTTTGCTTTGAATTAAAGCTTAAGACGAAGTAATTTAATTAAGCATACGAATATTTGATTTTTGCTCACGAAATCCTATACAACAGTAAAGAAACGACCATTTGATTTTCTGTGGGAAGGTTTAGATGATTTTGAAAATGAATTTGCTGTCTTTGCAAGATCTGAAAATAGATAACCCTGCATAAGACAGGATGAAAATGAATATTCTGCAACACAAAATGCAGGGGATAATTGTGTACAAAAATGAAAATTAATTAACTAACATTAGAGATGGAGTTGGCAATGAGATGCCGGTAAAGTTGCAGACAATAGTCGATAGGTTCATTACATTAATCCTCTATTTTTCTATAAGAATAGTCTAAACTTAACGTTTGAAACAGTCTGAGGCTCTACAATATTGAAAAGAGGGCAATCAACAACGGATCACTAGATTGCATAGACAGAATTTGAATTGACCTCTTACAAATTCACATCACAGTTGTGTTTGTGATACTGACACAAAAGAGGTGCAGGAGTAATATAAATAATAAAACCTTCTCTACATTTCTTTTTGTACATTTTTTTCGTGTATAGTTTGTTGTTATCTAGTTTTATATTTTCACATGGAAGTAGAAAATAGTTTGGAGGAAGAAGTAATCTAAGCTGCGACCTGTTCAATATGTCTAATATAATGCACATGTACATTTTTATAGCAATATATTAGGCTTGTTTGGCGTACAAATTATAATCCTTGTATATTTGATAAAAAAATAAGTTAATATATAAAGTGTATATTATGAATGGGGAATGATACAGGCGCAATTATTTTTAAACAAAGTATTTGGATTTATTTTATATTGCAAATATACTGACTTATATTATGTATATGTTAATCGGTTTCTGAGCATTCCATGTATGATTATTAAAAACTGATACCTGTAATGATTAAAGGAAATGTAAAATTTCACTTTTTGATTTGAAATGTAAAGAAAATAGATGCAGCCTTTGCCTTCCATTGACGGGGAAAATGTTTGTATTACATTGTTACACAAATGAATTTGGAGTGAGTATAGTTATTTTCTATCTGCAGTTGTCACCATTCATTGAACTTGGGAACCTTTGATAACTTGTTGATCTTCTTTGTATTATTATCATTATAAATAATCAGAATTTTTCCACAATAAATATGTAATCATAATATGAATTTGATTATTTTGTTTTCGCTGCAATTTTAAACATGAACTATGCTTTCCATACTTGTACTTCAATTTCGTTTTTAATCATTTACATTTAGACGCTCAATTTAAATTAGAAAAAAGTGCGTTTATTTCATATTTGTTTAATATTAAAAAATCCGAAAAATATTGCAGTCCAACTGTCAAACTGAATGATAAACATCTTAATTATCAAATCATTAATATGGAAGTCCACTTAATATACAATAACACAAGCACATACGCAAAATAGTCCTATAATCATGATAATATAACACTTCGAAGGTTCATATCGTTTGCAGTCAACGTTTTTTATCGGAAATTGTTTTTGGTATCAATGCTGAACCACGAAGTCTTATCGATAGTAGCTATTTTCTCGTAGCAAATTCTAAAATTAATAACCCACTGCCAAAACTAATTAAACTAGTAGGAACAACCTTAAAATGTAAGTTTGGCAAGTTTTCAAGTGAGTTAGAATTTACTACTCGTCCCATTAATTATTTTTTTCACTTACCAGTTGTTATATCAGAAAAGCGGAAATATACAAAAAGAGTAAGCGACGCCCACGTCAAAAATAAACTATCAAAATGGCAAAGTATAAAAAAAACAACATTAAGACAAACAAACAAGAGTCCACAAAGCACAACATTGAGAAAACTAAAGACTGATTAAGACAAACCCCACAAAAAAAGGGTGTGGTAGGGGGTGGATATTATTAACTGTGATGTCAAGAATGGAAGCGATAATAAAATTTAAAGTGTTTACTGATGAATAAGGACTGGCTCGCTCATCAAAGTTGTGTGAACTCGTATTTTGAGAGACTTTTATCGTCTCGTCCGCTTTTACAATTGCAAATTAATTTGTGATGATACTTAACAACTTGGACTAGAGAACACCTGGTGAATGACTATTGGCGCGCTCACCACTTTTGTATGAACTCATATGTGGAAAGGTATTTATCAGCTTGCCCGGTCTCACGACAATTATTTTTTGTTGAAGCTTAACGACTCCTAGGGTATTTCACTTGGATAAAAAAAGATAAAAATCGGTTTTATTATACTAAATATTATTGTTATATACATATGCACATTCATGGATCTACAATCTGTCAATACCTGTATCTTGGCATTGCACAAGGTCATATTTTTCTCTGACTGCTTATGACGTCTTTACACTAAATCCATTGGATGTTGGATGTGTACTGATTGATAATTCAGTCTTAGATGCATGAGTTTTTTATTAGTTGTTATTGACTTTGAACTAACAGTCAGTAACTGCTAGTACTCTCTCAGATCTGTACTTAGTGTCTTTTTGTTGTTGGGATACACAAGTACCCAGCTACGTCTACTCTGTGTTTTTGTTAGATGTATTTTTATTTGTATTCATCTGATGAGTTAAGCCTTTTTCAACTGAGTTTTATAGTTCGTTCTTATGTTGTACTGTTACACCACTGTCCCAGGTGAGGGGTAGTGTCTGGAACCCGCTAACATGTTTAACCTCACCACATTCTGTATATATGTGCCTGTCCCAGCCTGTTATCAAGTGGTTATCGTTTGTTGCTGTGTAACATATTCGTTTTTCGTTCATTTTTAATTTTTGTACATTAATTAAACCGTTAGTTTTCTCGTTAAATTGTTTGAAGGCCTTACGGTGACCTATAGTTGTTAATTTCTGTGTCATTTGGTATCTTGTGAATAGTTGTCTCATTGGCAATCATACCACATCTTCTTTTTTATATTCAAAAAATGTAGGTTACTTAAATTATCTCCTTAACGGTCGCTTTATATCGATAAGACAATTGGGTTTCGATTCGTTGTTTGTTTGTTACCGGAACTTTATTTTGATTTTGGATGATCTGAAGCTTGTAATATTCCTGTGTAATGTCAAATTGTATGTTTCTCTCTTTAAATATTTTTTGTTGTTGGATTATTGTTTCATTGAAGCTAACCACACATTTTTTATTTAAACTTCTTTTCCCCATTTTAAACGTGTTCTTGTAGTTCTCGAAGTTGGTCGGTGGAAAAATACACCAAGAGAAAATCGTATATGTTGTCACTGCGATTCAAATACAATTGGTGACGAATATCATTATTTTTTTGTATGTTCCAATGAACAAATTATGTCTTTAAGAGAAAGGTATATACCTACATATTACACAAAAAATCCTTCCCAATTGAAATTTACTGGTCTATTGTCACACTGTAACGTGCCAGTGCTAACAAAAGTGTGAATGTTTCTAAGACATATTGAAAAAATATTTTTCATAATTCATAGCATGTTACAATAACTTCATATCCACGTTGCAATTAAGAATTTTGCAAACAAATCAACCAAATATGGTATATTTCAGTTTTATTGTATGATATCACTTATTTATTTATTGTGTGTCTCGCTTGTAAATGTATAAGTATATATGTAATTGTTAATGTATAATTGTTATCCTCTTGCAGCACCATACGTGTGCCTAAGTTGTAAATAAATTGTATTGTATTGTATTATATTGTAATTATCTTTACGATTCAGCAATGCCAATATTTTTCAGGCGATGTCACTAGAAAATAAGAGAGGATGGGCTTAAAATACTGATATTGTTTAATCGTAAATAAAACAGATAGAAAACGGGAAAATAAGTTTGTAGGAAATTGTACGTAAAGTCTTTCAATATATATATAAGATAAAAAAAAAAAGGAAACAGGGGATATTTTTTCTGAATGGAGTGTGACGCCCATTTTCACTGAACTATACATTATTGTTAAGGCGCCAGCTGAAGCCCGCCTCCGGGTGCGGGATTTTGCTGTATTGAAGACCCATTGTTGGCCTTAGGCTGTTGTTTCTGCTCTTTGGTTGGATTTTGGCTCTTTGACAAATTCCCCATTTCCATTCTCAATTTTCGATTTATATTGATTTGCGTAATGTCATAGTATCCTCACGAGAAATAATCATTTGTATAGATGGAATTGGAATCAATAACTGTTTATCGTTTATTAATTTACATTTGACTAGAGTACTGCTTAATTACAAATCAACGAGGTTTTTTCTATGCTCCTGCCGTAGCGGAGGCATTAAATTTTACCCTTGTCTGTCTGTACACCCGTCCGCACGTCCGTTTGTTTCCGTTCCCTAACTTTAGTTTGCCTCAACCAAATGTTATAAAACTTATACACAATGCTTATTACCACAAAACTCAGATCTAGTACGAATTTCGGTATCATCACTTTTACCGTTCTTGAGTTATGTCCCTATATAACATTATATGCAAGCAAGGGCATCATCTGTGTCCCATGGACACATTCCCCATTTATATCATATTTTTATAAAAACGTGCATCGCCTCAATGATATGCAAATCCTTGGTCGCCTTAATTGAAATATTGAATAACGTCTGTTCATACATTAAAAAAATAAAAGGAGATGTGGTATGATTGCCAATTAGACAGCAATTTTTTATTTACGTTCAAATGAAGTTGATGTAAGCAATAATAGACTATCTTAAGGTCTTCAACCATGAAAAAAACCCGTATATTCGGCTTTAAAAATGCCCGACATGAACAAATGATGAATCAATGAGAAAACCAACAGCAAAATAATTTTTGAAATTCATGTAAACAATTGTTTCCCTATCGTCCTTTATTTTGAGACATCTACTTCATTTTCAACCGATTCTTGTTATTATTAGGACAAACTATTCAGTTCTATAATCATCATATGCCCTTTTTATGAATACGCTAGGGTCGCCTCGTTAATGAAAGAAATATTTTATGATTGGCTTGCTAACTTATTCACAAATAAAATCATTTCACCATTTTTTATCATCCAAAACTCAAAACAAAATTCGTTTTCCAAGGAGTATTCTGAAATATATACATCTGGGTATTCGTTCGGAAAGACATGCGAGACGTCTCGTACGTGATCCGCTTGACAATTTAGAATGAGGAGGGGGGACAGTTAGAAAAGTGTTTCAAAATAGGATATACCTCTATTATTTAATAAGGTAAGACATTTTATTTAATATTTAAGATGTTTATTTATAAGAATAATGATATGAGTATACTCAAAACTGTTGAAAACATTGTCAAATGACCATTCAAAGTTCCCACAACAATTCAAAATATATGGTTTGTTTCAAAATTCTTAATTCGTTAATCGTCAATTTGTAGCTTGTAACTGTGTAATTTCAAAATTCTTAATTTGTAACTTGTAACTGTGCAACTTCAAAATTCTTAATTCGTAAATTGCTAATTTGTCACTTGTAACTGTGTAATTTCAAAATTCGTATTTTGAAAATCTGTATTTGCAACTTTGAAATTCAACATTTGTAACTTTGAAATTCTTGATTTGCGACTTTGTGATTCGTTAAATCATACATTCGTATACTATTTCATATTTTGTCATTCGTCAATTCTAACCACGTCACGTAACTATTTGCCATAGACACGCTGAAATTCGTATATTGATGTTTTGAAACTTGAAACATGTCGTTAAATGTCATCGTTGTATTATTCTAACGATCATTATGACGACAGATGACACTCGTTTTTCTTCTTCTGTGTATAAGAAGACTCCTATAAGTAGGAATACCTATATATGAAGTATACTTTTAGTAATTTAAATCAATTATGTATCATCTATAGTACTAAAATAATATTGTCCCATCTGTTAGCCGACATGGCGTAAAAACGACGAATTAAAGAATTCCACTTTATACATTGTTATGTACAACAAATACAGGACAATGGTGTTGATTAAAAATTACACCATTCTATGCCCTTTTGTTTTCCACATAATTAGTATTACCAATAATTAACAAGTTTGGGTTGAATCCGATACCGATACCAATAGTATATGTCACATGTAGTTTCCGGTTCTGTATCTTCCGCCTTTAATATGAGCACCATCATGGTTATGGTATAAAGGAGGACACAATGTACCGGTAAATATTTAATTTGAGGATTTGCCTATCCAGTTTTTACAAGCTTGACCGTAACTGGTCTTCTACCAAAAAGTTAACCTTACCCAAACAAAAAGTGCAATGCAATACACATACAAACACAGTCACACTCACCTGATTCGATTTTCCTTAATATAAAAATGCAAAATATAAAAACAATTATATAAAAAATAAGGGATAAGGCGTAGGTAATTTAATAATAGAAGAAAACAAATAGATCGATAAAATATTTCTTTTTTTTATGGCATATATACAGGAACTCGGTTTTATTGGGGTTTTTTTTTGAAGACGACAGGTTGTGCTGCGTTTGAGAACGGATTCGTCATTACTGGAAAACCCAGGTAATAAACTGTTTCTATTAAATCTAAAATGCGATTATCAAACCATTTGATTCTGACTGAAAGGGCTGAAAGTTATACAATAATATACATACATACTAAACTTTACGAGTCAAGAAGTTATTGCCGCCACCCGATTTTGCGTCCTATAAAAATTTACAAAATATGTTGAAGACAAAACGTCCCACAGGGTGTTCTCCAAATGTTCCCCATTCGCGACTCCGCAACCCCGGCTTTACGCTTCATACTCCCGGAATCCCACCCCCTTGCCACCCCTCCTCACAGTTTGTCACCATTTTGCTCTCCAAAATAAGCCCTCACAGGAACAACCCCCTCCCCCCTCCGTCATGTCCAAATCATTTTCATAGAGAAATAAAATTATTGGGAACAGATTTGCGAGAATTGTCATAATGATTTTTAGAACAATACAACGATGACATTTAACGAATCGACATTTAACGTATCGACATGTTTCAAGTTACAAAACATTGATATACGAATTTCAGCGTGTCTATGGCAAATATTTAAGTAACGTGGTTACAAATAAAGAATGGCAAAATATGAAATAGTACACGATTGTTACATTTAAAAAAATACAAACTCCCAAATAAAGAATCACAAAGTTACAAATGTTGAATTTCAAAGTTGCAAATACAGATTTTCAATATATGAGTTTTGCAATTACACGAATTAGGATCTTTGAAATTACACAGTTACAAGTTACAAATAGACAATTTACGAATTTTGAATTTTGAAACAACCCATATATTTTGTATTGACAGTTCTTATAATGTTTTGGTTTTCTATTCTGAGTGTATACAGTTTCTGATGCCACTTGTGGAGTGAGATAGTCAACTTTGTACTTGTTTGGCTTTATAACTATTTTGATCTGAGCGTCACTGATGAGTCTTATGTAGACGAAACGCGTATTAAATTATAATCCTGGTACCTTTGATAACTATTTTGTATATAGCATGACCATTTATTGCTGACCAGCATATTTTGCAAAATAAGAAAAAATAGTTTTGTACATTCTATTCTTAAAACGTGCAAACTATTATTTTGTTACAAATTATTCCGTATGAAATAAACTTTCAAGAACTTGATATATCTCAATACAATCTAGATCTCAAATCAATTTCAATGATCAAATTTATCATAACATATTAAGATTTTAACAAAATACTAGCACTCATCAATCGATATCATGCTCTTTTGATATCATAACAGCCCTATTCCAGCAAACCAACGCAACTAAATATGACAACTTGATATCAACATACAGTTTTTAAGAATTGTGTTATGATACAAACCATGTTAGCATTCCAACTATATTTCTAAAAGTTTTAAAAGGAGGAGGAACGTGCTGTTAATAAAAGGTTGTATGGATCAAAATGAATATTCGTCGTCGCAATCGCTTCTTTTGTGTGCTTTATAATATCATAGGTGTATCAATGTTGTATTTCTGATTTTTAATTTTATTTTTTTTTTTTGGATTACTGTAACATAGAGAAACAACAGTAATATAAGTAAAACCATACAGTTTTACATTTTGATATCTGAGTTATGCCGCTTTTCCAATGATTGTGACTTTAACCATTAAAAGGTAAAGAAAATTGAAAATCGTACAATTTTTTTAATTTTTGTCTTGAGAAGCGGTAAAAAAATTTTTTTTTAAAACTTATGCACAATTAGATCATTATAAATAATTGAATGTGAAGAAAGCTTCTTTTTTTTTTGAAATGAATATACAAGGCTTGAGACAATACCAATAGTTTGTGACAAAATCATTGATAAAAATGATTAAAAGATACCAACGGTGACACAATTCCAAATTGTCGACGAAAACGAAAACGAAATATGATGGCCGAAGACAAACAATACAAATTATCGTTGATTGACGGCACTTTCATACATGTACCCCTTTTTACCTCGATTAACAGAATGACAAACTAGAAAAAATCACATAAACATACTTTGAAAAAAAGCATATACCTAAATAATTGTGGCTGTAAATTCATATCCGCGAGTTAAACAGTATTCATATGATACACTAATAATACCATATCATAGAATACCCACAGGTTATTCTACAAACCTGCGTCGTGCAATCAGATGATTTGTTGATAAGGCTTGGTTTAAGGATGTTCGCTCCTCTGTTCCAAAATAACAAGGTTTTTAAAAGACTGTTATAGATTGATAGAATATGAATAAGGAAACTTAAAAATTAGAAAAAAAATGATAGGTCCGTGTTGTAGTTTTTGAGATATAATCAATAGGCAATTTGGCGTGAAATAGTTCTCTCTAGATTTTTCATACATTTAACATTGACACCTTTTGCCTTTCAAAAACTATGAAAAAAAACAAGGATTTTATAAAATTTTCAAAAATGACTTTAAAAACTATATGCAATAAAATTCTGAAAAGAAAAGTAGGGGTCAGTGGGCAAGATTTTTGTTGGCACTACATGGATAAAACTAGAGAATTCAGAATATCTGACAAAAAGTCAAAAACAAGAGTAGCGAACATCCTTAACGTTCAGTATTGAATATGCTATATATTTCCAAGAGATTTGTTGCGCATGTTCTTAACTGTATTGATACTGTGGTAGTCACCCAACACTAGGCATTGTATTCAACGTCCCTTTTTCGACCAAACAGAGTCTTAAATTAAGCAAGAGTTGTATTGCCAAAATGAAAATACTCGAGGCTATTAAGATTGTTTAACCTTTGTCAACCTTTTGGGTCAATTGAAATCAATATTACACTTTAGCATTACTGAAAGTTTACTACTGATTGCCTGTTTTACCTAAATCGGTCACGTCAAACGATGTTTCTAATTGGTTAATTGTGTTTACTTAAAATATCATGTATATGCAAAGTTTAACCCTTGTCAACCCTTGGGGCCATTTGAAATCAATATTTCAGGTTAGCATTACCGAATGCTAACTACTGCTAGTATGTTATACTTGAATCTGCCAAGTCAAAGATGTTTATCATTGTTTAATTGTGTATAGTTTTAAAATATCATATATATGAAACGTTCGTTATATATTGAGAGTTACATTATAAAAATAAGTAGATGTGGTATGATTGCCAATGAGACTACTATCCACCAAAGTTCAAATAAAGTGGATATAAGCAATTATAGGCAACCGTACGGTCTTAAGAAATGTGAAAAACCCATACCGTAGGGTCGGCTTTAAAAGGCCTCGACATGAAAAATACAAAACAATTCAATTGAAAGAACTAACGGCCTAATTCATAACAAACCAATTATTTTTTTTCAAATTGCGTACTTCAAAGTGGACACCACGCGTGTGTAGAAAAATTGTCATGACAGTTCATTGAGTACACCCTTATATGTGTATATACTCAACCAGAGAAATATTCAGTCACTTACGAAAAAGGCAAAGAAATTTGTTTACAAAACATAATCGATTTTAGCAAAAAGGAAATGATGTTTCATCATTTGTGTTATAAGTGTTGGTACGAGAATATCCGTGAGAATTTCATATTAGTATTAGATACAAGGACAACGCAACTAAAGCACCAAAACCCTTTAAAATACATCCGGCATTTGTTAAAAAATTGGTGATAAATTGTAAATCGCCACAAGACAGCAAATTGTGAATAACCGACAAAATAATATACTAATCAATGTATTTACGGTGTTAACCAAAATTTTATTAAGATAATATTTCAATGAGTAAACTAATAATAACAATTACTTTTGTTGCTGATGGTGCTAATAGGTTCAACGTTTTTGATCCAACTCACTCGTGTTATAAGAAATTCTCATGCGAATTGATCGCAATTACCTGTGGAATTGCAAAGACAATTATTCTAAATTTAATTACATATAAATGAAGACTCCATTTCTTCGTATCTTTCAAATGCTCATGTTAACTGTCGTATACATTGCTGACTATTACTCCCGGTATTTGTCCCGTTTTAATATTGGTTCCATTATAAGAGTCTGGTGAGTTCGCAAAAGTAACTTTAAAAGTGCCGTCAGAGACTTCTGTTTCATAGTCACATCCGGAAACAGTACATGCACCTATCATTAATAACTCTATAGTGTATTTGGTGTTACGTTTAATCTCTACTGGCTGTTTAAGAAGAACATCATAAAGAGCTGTCCTCTGTTTAGTTTCCAGTTCTTTGCCTTGTAAGACTGATATTGTTCTCTGTTCGTCACCACATGGCTCCATCAGGGACACATCAATTTTATAATTGCTTTCTCCAGATATAGTTCCAAACACAACGATTCCATGTAGAAGTAACACCTCCCTGAAGCAAATATCAATTGCATCTTTCCATTCACCAACTTTCCAACTTTTGTCTTTTCTAACTCCACAACGCATTAACTTGTGCAGTTTCGGACGCCTTATATCTGAAATGAATAATTCATCAGAATAGCCATCGTCATACATTGAACGTTGAATTGACGCTATTTCATCTTTTGAAAGAATTTTTCGTTTTGAGATATTGTGCCCAAAGTAGTCGTTGGTTATGCAACTGAATCGGATTTTGTAAAGAATTTCACTTCTTATTAATTGTTTTCTCATATCTCTATCTCTTGGCCTTTCGCTACTGAGCTTTTTCGCTACCCATCTTAAACATGCTTCATAAATGCTTTCTTCTTTACATGAGACGGGCGTATGTTCTATAATGTCCCGAAAGAGGCCTTCTGGTAGATTCGAAATAAAACTTGATTCCAAACATTTCTTCGAATTTGACTCATAAAAATCAAAACATTTTGTACGTAAACCAGAATGCAGGAAATATATATCGGCCAAATAAAAGATTTGCCAAATTGTATCGGGGACCATATTACACGCCAAAAATGTATAACAATGTTTTTTTAGTCTTTTCAAATTGTATTTTTCAGCACAATCTAGAATCTGCTCTACATTTCTAAAGTCCATTTTACACTCATCGATGTAAAGATACCTTAAAAGATAAAAGCAATAATTGTGATTTATAGTTAAGTAGTCGCGTTTAATTATACAGTATAACAACAAATGTGCAAATTGAAGAGATATGAATATTAAACGTTTTGCAATGTAACACATCTCAATATTCACTTTCAAAAAATACGTACACGCCATATATTGGATCGTAATATAATAATTATTCATTTGCATTTGTATAATTTCTCTAACAAATGAATAAAAAGGAGTCAGATTCCATTGGTTTGCAGGATATTTAACACACACATGTATAACACTTGCGTCAACAAGCATTATGTAAAAAATAAATATTTTCAACAATTGTCAACTTGCCCAAGATCTCAATGTTTGACCAAATTGAAATGCAAATACATAAGCATGACAAACACCGTTCTATGTCACTTACTCGCACTTCATGTTTGCTTCAACATGAAAAACTGTTCATCATGAAACGATTTCTTCTTGTTTCTTTCGGTGCATGTATTTTCCTACTTGTTTATCATACCGGTGTCTATACTAAGTGTTGTCCTTGATCATTGTTGATATGATCATTGAACGGTTTTTTTTATTATTATTTTTAAGGCAGAAGTTTCGTCAACTACCAAAACTAACTTAGTTACCATCTTAGAGCCTTAGCTAAAAAATTTTACAGCAGTAACTAACACTTATTGCATGTTCACGACGCCTAAACCGCAGTATGAGCGGAACTCTCCTGTAGATGTTGTTTAAGGTAAACGTGCGTATAAAACCCGACACAGATGCGATGTTTTCGAAAAATTCAAGGGGACAAGAGGCATAAAAATCAATAATTTCTGTCATAATTTATGCAAAAAATGTCTTGTAAAGTACAGAAACAATATAAACATTGACGTTTGTTGATTACTTGCACATATAAGACGCATAAATAGGACAAATGATTCCGATATGTGTAATAGATTAGGAATATACAAGGCACAATATGGTCTGGTAAATAAAATTGATTTCTTGATTGTTGGTTGCTAAAATATTTTATGCATGTGCAGGACGAGAACAAATTAACAATGGATACAATAGGTATGTTTTGTAATGGCGGCCATCCGGGACAAATGTCGGGGAAATTTGAACTGCCACTGAAAAAAAAAGTTATATTGGACAGAGTCAAATTTTTTTCCTTTCAACAGGCCACATACGGACTTCTGATTATTAGAAAAGAATGTGTCATATACAAGTATAAAACTAGGCAACGAAATATGAGCAGTCTAATACAAGCAATTAAAACCAAAAGGAAAAAACAACCAAAAGACAACCTACAATACAAAATACTAACAAAGAAAACTAATCATTAGGAAAGACCAACCCTTCCAAAAACTATGAAGCACACAATAACTTCAGAAGAGTATGCAGTTTTTTTCCCAACTATTGAAAAATTATTGTTACTCGATGCAAGTAAACATACGGAGATAAAATGAATATTTCGGCTCAGACATTGTCACAATATTGGCGAAATTGGTGTGGTACTACATGTGATACATATCGGTAGTCATATGTGACATAGATAAATCATAACGGTCAACAGCATTATGATTGCGTCTGTAAACTCAAAGGGTTGACTTCGACTTTACCTGTGTAAGTAGTAACCCTTTTCAACGGAAATTATGATCATGATGATAAAAAACACAAAGCCTGGAATATCAACGAAGAGATATAATGTGACGAGAAGCATAATATTTTATCATATTATGCAAGGAAATGGACCTAGATTGTAAGTACTCTATTAGATCTTTTGATTTTGTGAGAATCCTTGATTCAGCCCCAATTATATGTAGTTTAGAAGAACTTTGAAGCCAACAAAAATGTAGGTGTATAGTTTAGAAGAATTTTTATGTAGCAATTTTGGTATTTAAATTTGGAAGAATACCTATGGAATTTCAATATCAAGTAGATTGACGAAACATTAGTCTTTTTAAATCTTATGTTGATCTTCCGAAGTAACAAAAGACCGATATATGTATATATATATATATATATATGTGAAAAGTTAAATCACAAAAAAATGAACTCCGAGGAAAATTCAAAACGGAAAGTCCCTAATCAAATCACAAAATCAAAAGCTCAAACACATCAAACGAATGGGCAACGACTGTCATATTCCTGACTTGGTACAGGCATTTTCTTATGTAGAAAGTGGTAAATTAAACCTGGTTTTATAGCTAGCCAAACCTCTCACTTGTATGATAGTCGTATGGAAACTAATGTACCATCAACACCATATTACCAAAACGACCAACAAATACTAAAATGTTATAAAAACATTTTCATATGCCAATTAAGATAATGATATGTTCATAAAATATAACATGTGTACATAAAACAAAATATAAGTGCACAAATGAAATATATCTTAATAGAAAATAAATGAATGATAATAGCAAATAAAATATTTGTTCAATAATTAACTTAATAAGCATGTTGAAACATCGAGTCTTGTAAATGTCTATTCGAATTATTTAAATTGCGAAATTAGGACCTCGTGACATAAATGATGGTTGCATTTGTCCAATGTGGTGGTTTTAAATGCTGTTTGTTTTCTATTAAACTAAGTCCAAATTCACAGGACCACACGACAGCTTAGTTGTGTGTAAAAACCATTTGGTCCGGTATGTGACTTTTTTTCATTTTTTAATCAACAGATTTTTAATTAATTTTAAGAATATTGCGACGTTTGATGCTCAAAGGTCCCTGTGGATTCTGCGCAAAAATATCACAATAGCTAAAACAATGACATTTTTTAATTGTGTTACCTTAGAACTTCGGTAAAAGCACAAGGATCAATATTTGGAATTGAAACTGTAGTTTCTGGTAATGAACCGGTGAACATTCTAAAAAAAACATCACTGCTACACGCTAGAACATTCCTGTGAGCTCTCATCGACTTTTTAAATTTCCCAATCTTGAATTCAACATCACAAAATTGGTCTTTTTGCTGAAAGTTCCATATACTTTTTGCATTCGCCAACGCTTTGTCTGCCATTGTTCTGGATGCTGAAATAATACAAATCATTACAAAAGAAATCTATTTGTCTTATACTAGTAGCATCAATATATGTGTCTAACTACTGATACGCTTCATCAAGTACATTAGCAAATCAGGTTTTGGAAAATGATTCGTCAAGAAAAGGAAATATCTTATACAAAGGTACATCTGATAATTCCGAAAAGTAAAATTCGTACACATTGTGTGATTTAAAGTACTTCATTTATTTATTTATTTATTTATTTATTTATCTATTTATACGTTGTCAAATTACATATTCAAGATAAATTTAGCTGTCAACGTGATTCAAAAACTATGTCTCGTGCATTTTAACAAAAGCACGTGGTCTTATCCTAGCATCACGATTGTACATACTTGTACCTAATTATAGATATGTGACTAATAAATTAGAATTAAGTGCCTCCTTTCGTGATTTCCTTTTAAAAACAAAATTATTATTTAGTATGTGTATAGGGGAGAGTATAATAGGTATTCAGTTGTACAATTCAAATAAAATTGTGTATTAAATTATATTATGTCCCATTTTTCTGTTGTAGGAATTCCGACATTTTGGCAACAATTCGACCAAACTAAATAATATCTTGGTAAACAAAATAATTTGTTTATAAATGTTATAATCTATGTATGTATCGGACTTGAAATTCATTTGTACATGAAAATGGCAAATACATATTATTGGAAATGGGTTTCTCTAACGTTTACTTGAAAAATAATGTGTGCCAAATTTATTTGTTTTGCCCATAACAATTCGAGGAAGCTTAATCTTGTCAGTCCAATATAAAGGATTCGCGCCAATAGTGACTGCATAAATGCATTATGAAAAGCGACATAATGTTTACTCTAAAACGGTGTATAATATTTATTAGACATATAGAAACACACTCATATTTCTTCTGCCTGGATTTGGCTATCTTATACTTCAAATTGCTGTTATCACCTCTAATACATTTCTATAAAGTTTATTTTAAAAAAACTGTGTCTCTGATTTTATCATAGAAATGTTGAAATTCTCATCTGGTGAAGAAATATTCGTACCGTTAATGTTACTTCAATTTGCAGTGCAATATATTTCAAATATTTCAGCTGATTTTTTTTTTTTGGCAAAGGAAGGATAACCAAACTTTGACATGCCCATCAGTCGGGGGAAGACTAATTTTTATAATCACTTATCGAAGAAGTTCTTCTCAATTCCAAGACACAGGACATACATTGGCAATTATAAAAACTAAAACATATCTTTGCAAACTGTTATGTTTACAAGGTGCTCAAGGTTACTTAAGGTGCTCCAAAAAGGTAAGCAGATTCTGCTCCACGTGTGATACCTGTCGTGTTGCTCAATAAATTACTTATCCAGGAGGGATAATTCTAGTTCGGTAGATCACATAAGGAGAAAAGGGGACGAGACTGTAGTTACGATGATTGGAAAATATCCGTCGTCATCTGTGAAACAGATATTAAAAAAACGGTCAACCAACTCATAGTGGCGTCCGTAAAATTTACGAAGGGATTATTTCAACTTTACCGCTCTGAACTCGTGGTTTAATAGCTTCTTTGTGAGCAGCAACCCTCTATCCAGGAAATCATGAAAGGAAACACAAGCCCTGGGATGTGATATATTCATGTGCATGCTCGGTGTCGATATTGTTGCTTGTGAAGTGTTTGTCCTGAGTGTATTATAAAGCTAAATCGTCTGGAATTCGGCATTGACATGATTACTTTATAACCTTTCTTAAATTTTCCCTTTTTGTTCATTAGATTTATAATAAGTAGTTATTAAGATTCTTTTTTCAACAGTATAAGTTGATCTTAGGTGCATTGGCTTTTCTTTTATATACCTTTTGTTCACATATGTTCTCACGTAGTTATACATTCCTGGCCTTAAAATCAAATTAATTTGACTGAGCGTTCCTGGTGACGACAAAACCAAAACAAACGCTTCAAACGCAATAGCTTTTAAAAGTATTATTTTCAAGTTCATGTTGAAATCAGTTCCTTTATAACAGGTGTTTCGTTGATATCATTCATCCAGCATTCTTGCCGCTATTAGTTTGGAAACAAAATTTTAGTACGGTAGAGATCAACGAGGTCATGAAGTTATCAACAGCAATTTGATAGCCGCTTATGGTTAATTTTGCTTGACTAACATAAATCACATACGCTTGCCACAATTCGTTTGTCTGTTGTCAAGCGAGAATAAGTCCGTTTAATAATTCATTCTGCACTTAGGCCATTTACTTAACAAATACATGATTATGTACCAAAAAAATTATTATATATATATGTGTATATGTCTTAGTTCATTGAGGGTCAAATTTAAAACAGTGCAAAGCACTTTCGGCTTCTTTACAACTTAAAGACAACAACCGGAAGTTATCATTATTTCTGTTTAAAGCTCAATGATCATATATAAAACGATAAACTTACATTTTCAAAAAACATACTTGATTTGTTTCCTTTTTCCTTTTTATCCTTTCCAAGATTTAGTTTGTTTTCTATATATGTACGTATATTTATTAGTAAAGGAAAAAACCTACATCGACTTATCGTGTGAATTACTTTACATAAGTATAAATGTTTACGGAAAAGAATACTTATTACGCTAGGATGTGTATTTGAAAATCTCATAATTACAATAGTTTTAGTCATGATAAGTATTTATTCACGGGTTTATTTTACCAATTTATTCTCTCTGAATATTTTTGTTTTGTCATCCCAAAACTATATGTATGTGTTAATCAAGCTATTGATATTTTTTGGGATGTTGGTATCCATTAGAAAGGATGTTGGTAGCCGTTCAAAGATACAAAAACTGACAAGGTCAAATTTTAAATCTGAAAATCGATTATTTGATTTTGAGAAGAATATCAAGATTAAGTGTGGTCATATAGCTTTTGACGTATTCATGTATTTGTATATCCTTCTATAACCTTCGCTTTTAAAAAGATTTGCGTTTTAGCTGTCATGTTCATGATTTATCCAGAAAACGGGTTTTTTGGCAAATTATTTCTATTAAATAATGTTATTTTCAATAAATATATTTTTACTATTTCCATATATAAATCTATTAACAAGCAAAAATTTAAAAAAATAACTTACGTTGGGTGAAACTTAGCTTCTCCATAGATTCGTACTGTACAGGGATGCGCAAAAAGACTACAACATTATAACAATAAATAAGATGACGAATAACAAAAACGAACTGATACACTCCTCCACACCAACTACAACACAATTAAAAATAAACTACACGTAATTTTAAAATCCCTTCATCACATCAATATTTTTAATGTAGAAATAATTCAATAGAAAGTCTAATATATTTTCATATGCTTCCGTTAATACTGTTAACTTTTCGGTAACTTTATTTTTGAAAAACGGGTTTTTTTTTCGTTTTTACCCTAAAAATTTGAACACTATACGCGCCTTGTTTAAATTTTGGTATTACTAAGTATTTCCAATAAGATTGCGAGTGAATTGCGACAATATTTATTATGTGTCTTTCTTCTGTAAATGTTTTGATTTTATTGTGAATCTGCGGTCGTTAATACGCATATTTAGCATTTATTACTTGATAAAAACCTCACAAAGGATAATGTCAAAAATAGTGCGTTGTGGATTTTTTTCATACAATTTTTTCTTCTTTTCACCTCCAATACTTATTGCAGAGAGGTTTACAGTCATGTTCTATTTACATTCAAAAACATAACTTAGGATTAGATAAATAAGTGTATGTTATAATATGGTGGTATGCCAGTAGGGAGTGGTCAATTCGAGGGAAGTATTCTACTACTTGGGTCGTATTTACAAATAATAACAAAACAATTCAGTAGTTAGTAAATAACACATAACTTAAATGACGATTTACAGTGTTTTTTCCCGAGGGGTTAAAAATCAAGTCATCCAATCAAAGTAGTTAGATATTAATATAACATGTAAATGTTAATTAAGACCTAAATGTATGTATCAATGGTATTTAACGCGGTATCCATTTCAATGGTTTGATTCAAAGTATTGACTTCTAAGCCGTGGTGAAACGTCTCAACATGAATCATGTGTTCAAGAGTGTCTTCCTAGCACCATAAAATGTGTTCACTGCATATACAGAAAAAGAATGCTACAGAATATGTACAATGTCCACTAGAATATACGGCGTAACATCGTCAATTTGAGTCTGAAGGGACACATTATCAAATAGAATGTTAGGAATTGTTATCTTTAATTGGTTTTACATAGAGTACACCTAAAGGGTATTTTACAGAAAAAAATACAATATTCTTTCAGGTACGCCAAGTTCCTTTTTCGTTTTGTGGCATTGTGTTTTCAGTTTGTCTTTGATTTTTGAGTTCGAATGCCCATTTGATATTCTTTGCCTCTCTTTGAACTAAGTTACACAATGCAGACACCGTGTGGTGTGTGTATTTTGCAATTTTAAAGGGAGTGTTATACAGTATAAACATCTAGAGTCTCAAGTACACAACGTCTATCTTAAAGGGAGTGTCTTACTATATCCATCTATATGGAGTGTGCAACAAAGAATAGAACTTAATTGAGTGAAATACAGTGCACAGTTCGTGTAAATTGAATCATTGCACGCTTCAAGCGTCTATGAACCACACAGTTATTTCACATGCCTTAGGTTTTTTTTTATCGATAACAAAATTGAAACTGATTAATAATTCTTCAACTTCCGATATATTTTGTCATTCGATCACATGATAAACAGTGTTCCATTACTCATTTACACTTATCAATCAATAATTACCAAAGGATTAAATATGAATATGGAACTGTATAAATGTGGTGCATCCTAATGGCTTTTCAAAATGTATCATCATAAAAGAGCCCAACGCTAAAAGTTGGAAGTCAATGGTGCGTAATCCTTGAGTATTTGAAGAGATATACAGCTAAAAGGAACTTGAGAAAAATTTCAAAATTATTTCCTCATTTGTAAGCACGAACACACATTTGAAAGTGCATGGATCAATAATCAGTTTGAATAAGTTACGTCAAATAAGCAGCCGAAGAAACACTCCCATTTGACATGTTTAACTAGACGATGCGAAAAATTCGTCTTATCATGCTAAATTTATGCATTATTATTAACTATTGATTTAAAGACAGTTAATAATAATGTGGAGTGACAGCTTCCGCTTAATGCCTAGTCCAACTCTCATCTTTATGTTCCATTTGCATATTATTATTTTTACATTTTTATTTTATTATCATGGTAAAAGTCTATTGATTGGGACATAATTCATATTTTTAACATTTGCTGGTAACTTTATATATTCTAAATGGTTAAGCCAAAACATACAAGCAAGTATAAAGCATTAAGACTCGATGAAGAGCCTATGAGAATGCTAAGTAACGTTATAAGTTTGAGGAGAACTAACAGGTAAAAAGCGCCCTTGTCAAGTAGAAATTGTTAATGGATTGGCAATGAAGTATGAACACCAATACACAAAACACAACATAGAAACCTAAAGACTCAGCAACACGAACCAAACTTAAAAGGTGGGGATCATCTAAGGTGCTCCATAAAGGTAAGCAGATCCTGCTCCACGTGTGATACCTGTCGTGTTGCTCAAGTAAGTACTTATCCAGTAGTGATAAGTCTAGTTCGGTAGATCACATTAGGGGAAAAGGGGACGGGATTGTTGTTTCGATAATTGGAAAATATCCGTCGTCATCTGTGAAACAGATATTGAAAAACGGTCAACCAACTTATGTTGGCTTACGTAAAATTTGCGAATGTATGATTTCAACTTTATCACTTTGAACTCGTGGTTTGTGAGCAGCAACCCTCTATCCAGGAAATCATGAAAGGAAACACAAGCCCTGGAATGTGGAATCTTTTTCCAACAGTATAAGTTTATCTTAGGTGCGTTGGCTTTTTTTTATATACCTTTTAGTCACATAGGTTCTCACGTAGTTATATATACATTCCTGGCCTTAAAATCAAATAAATTTGACTGAGCGTCCCTGATGACGATAAACAAAAACAAACGCTTCGAACGCAATAGATTTTTAAAGTATTATTTTCAAGTTTATGATTAAATCAATTATATTATAACAGGTGTGTTTCGTTGATATCATTCATCCAGCATTCTTGCCGCTATTAGTTTGGAATCAAAGTTTTGATACGGTTGAAATCAACGAGGTCAAGAAGTTGTCAACAGCAATTTGATAACCGCTTATGGTTAACTTTGCTTGACTAACATACATCACTTACGCTTGCCACAATTCGTTTGTCTGTTGTCAAGCGAGAATAAGTCCATTTAATAATTCATACTGCACTTAGGCCATTTACTTACCAAATACATGATAATGTACCAATAGACTTATTATATATATGTGCATATGTCTTAGGTCATTGAGGGTCAAATTTAAAACAGTGTAAAGCACTGTCAGCTTCTTTACAACTTAGAGACAACAACCGGAAGTTATCATTATTTCTGTTTTAATCTCAATGTTCATATATAAAACGATAAACTTACATTTAAAAAAAATTTAGTTGATTTTTTTCCTTTTTCCTTTTTATCCTTTCCAAGATTTAGTGTGTTTTCTATCCATGTACGTATATTTATTAGTAAAGGAAAACACCAACATCGACTTGAAATATCCAAATAAGGATTTGACCTTATAGTTACTATTCTAATGGAGATACTGGTATGTTGAACCCTTATCGTGTGAATTACTTTACATATATATAAATTGTTACGGAAAAGATACTTATTACGCTATATTATTACGTGTATATGAAAATCTCATAATTACAATAGTTTTAGTCATAATAAGTATTTATTCACGGGTTTATTACACCAATTTATTCTCTCTGAATGTAATTTTTGGTCATCCCAAAACTATATGTATGTGTTCATCAGGCTATTAATATTTTTTGAGAGGTTGGTATCCATTAGAAAGGACGTTGGTAGCCGTTCAAAGATACAAAAAGTGACAAGGTATAATTTTCAATTAGGAATTGTTATCTTAAATTGGTATTACATAGAGTACACCTAAAGGGTATTTTACAGAAAATGAAATATTCTTTCAGGTACTCCATCACAAGTTCGTAACTAAAGGATTCAATATGAATATGGAACTATATAAATGTGGTGCATCCTAAGGGCTTTTTTAAATGCATCATCATAAAAGAGAACAACGCTAAAAGTAGGAAGTCAATGGTGTGTAATCCTTGAGTATTTGAAAAGATATACGGCTAAAAGGAACTTGAGAAAAATTTCAAAATTATTTCGTCATTTGTAAGCACGAACACACATTTTAAAGTGCATGAATCAATTTAATCAGTTTGAATAAGTTACGTCCAATAAGCAGCCGAAGAAACACTCCCATTTTACATGTTTAACTAGACGATGCGAAAAATTCGTCTTATCATGCTAAAGTTATGCGTTATTATTAACTATTGATTTAAAGACAGTTCATAATAATGTGGAGTGACAGCTTCTGGTTAATGCCTAGTCCAACTCTCATCTTTATATTCCATTTGCATATTATTATGTCTACATTTTTATTTTATTATCATGGTAAAAGTCTATTGATTGGGACATAAGTCATGTGTTTAACATTTGCTGGTAATTTTATATATTCTAAATGGTTAAGCCAAAACATACAACCAAGTATAAAGCATTAAGACTCGATGAAGCGCCTATGAGAATGGTTAGTAACGTTATACGTTTGAGGAGAACTAACAGGTAAATAGCTCTCTTGTCAAGTAGAAATTGTTAATAGGTTGGCAATGAAGTATGAACACCAATACACAAAACACAACATAGAAAACTAAAGACTGAGCAACACAAACCAAACTTTAAGTGGGGGTCATCTAAGGTGCTTCAAAAATGGTAAGCAGATCCTGCTCCACGTGTGATACCTGTCGTGTTGCTCAAGTAAGTACTTATACAGTAGTGATAAGTCTAGTTCGGTAGATCACATTAGGGGAAAAGGGGACGGGATTGTAGTTACGATAATTCGAAAATATCCGTCGTCATCTGTGAAACAGATATTGAAAAACGGTCAACCAACTCATGGTGGCGTCCGTAAAATTTGTGAACGGATGATTTCAACTTTACCACTTTGAACTCGTGGTTTTTGAGCAGCAACCCTCTATCCAGGAAATCATGAAAGGAAACACAAGC